AAGCACCTGTGTCTTGTTCTCCCGAAAGAGAGGCGTGCACTCAGAACCTGACATTGAACTGAACGGTCAACGTCTGTCTGTCAATGCAGAGCATAAATTCTTAGGCTTAATCTTGGACAACAAGTTGACCTTCGTACCGCACATTAAGTATTTAAAAACAAAATGTTTAAAACCCATGAATGTTATAAAAGTGTTGTCACGTACCACTTGGGGTAGTGATAGGCAATGCCTCATGAATCTGTATCGAAGCCTCATTCGCACCCGCTTAGATTATGGGGCCGTTGTTTATCAGTCTGCAACTCAAAGTGCTTTGAAGATGCTGGACCCCGTGCACCAGTTGGGCATCCGCCTTTCTACGGGTGCTTTTCGCACCAGCCCTGTAGAAAGCCTTTACGTTGAGTCAAATGAATGGTCGCTTGATCTACAGAGAACTTACATGTCCTTTGTATATTTTCTTAAGGTGAAGGCAGACAAGAAGCACCCCTCATACTCTACCATTATTGATTTGTCGAGCTCCATTCTGTTTCAAAACAGGCCTTCGATGAGGCAGCCCTTCTCAGTTCGCCTGAAGGGTCTAGCTGAGGACACTGGAGTGTCACTTGAACACAGTTTAATGGCTCCTGTAGCATACCCGCCACCGTGGCAGTGGCAGACTATAGATTGCGATGTGTCTTTCCTAGAAGTTACTAAACATGCGCCTATTGCTTATATTCGAACATACTTCCTGGAACTTCAACACAAATACACACGTCCTGAGTTCTTCACAGATGCCTCTAAGTCCAACACCTCTGTGTCCTACGCTGTTATCGGCCCTTCTTTTTCGGATGCTGGCCCTCTACATCCAGGCACAAGTATTTTCACAGCGGAAGCCTACGCGATACTTGTGGCAGCTAAGCACATCAAATAATTAGAAATACAAAAAGCAGCAATTTATACAGACTCCCTCAGTGTTGTAACGGCTCTGCACAGTCTTAAAAAACAAAAAACCCTGTCCTCGTCTCACTTCACTCTATTTTATGCACACTCTACACACTCAACCAACGTGTTGTAGTGTGCTGGGTGCCAGGGCACCGAGAGATTCAAGGCAACGTGATGGCGGATCAGCTTGCTGCATCCGTCCGCGAAATCAGTGCCACTACACCCATATCGATCCCGCCCTTTGATCTTAAGCTGTCTCTCAAACGAAAGCTCGGGGACTACTGGCAGAGCAAGTGGGATAGACACACACAAAACAAGCTACACGTTATCAAGCCACACCTTGGCCATTGGCCACCAGTATCAAAATCGCGTCTAACAGAGGTAACACTAACAAGACTCAGGATAGGACACACATACATGACACACACACATCTTTTGTCCGGTGGCGATCCACCATTGTGTGATAAATGTGGTGAGACATTAACAGTTCTTCACATTTTAATCCAATGTAAACAATTAGACACTCTAAGAAGACAACACTTTCCATTACCCTACCGACAACATATACCATTACACCCCGCAATGTTTGTCGGTAGGGAACCACTTTTCACCCATAAATCATTGCTAGCTTTTTTAAAAGATGTCGGTTTTTATCATGTAATATACCCAGGCATTGTGTAGCGTGACCTCTCAAGAGAGGTTGCTGCTGCAGTGACTATATTTAAAAGCACTTGCCTCACAGCCCTTGGACACAAGGGCGCTGATGAGGCACTTGTGCTAGTGCCAAATATTTTTGCATGCTTTTATTATCAAAACCTTTGTCACCCTTTTTACTATGCATATCACGCCACTGCCATGATCTTAATACTTATGTTTTTACCCGCATTATTGCGAGGAATTTTAAGGCCCCTATACAGCCACGCAACATATCATTGTCCGCATCTCTACTCATCGAAATGGCGCTCTTTGGCCATCATTGGCCCTTGCGCCACAAAGCACCACACATCATCATCACTAGTAAGTCTGCTTGGCTGGTACCTGGTCCAATGGAAAAATCATATATTACCCTATTTACAAGTGTATAAGTCACACCTTTCTTTAAGATGCACCCCATACTTCTTACGACTTTCAAAGAGAAAAAAAAAAGATATATTGGGCACATGATATATCAACACCATGACACACGAAGAGTTTATTCATTGCGAAATGCAAAATCTCACACAGCATTGAATATCCATCAGCAGTTGCACAAAACTCGTAACGCTGTCCCAAAGCATAGAAAACCAATATTTATTGCTCGAAGTCGCATTCTCTAGTGCACTGTCTAAAGTTGTTCTGCTTGGGCACCATCTCTGGGTTGCTGCTGTCGGCCCCTGAGTAACCCTTTCGCGCCGCGTCGTTAGTACCTCGAAGCACATCACCGTTATTGCCTCTACGGCAGTATAAGGCTCGGGGGGAACACATAACTAACCATTTAACCAACCATCGAGCCGCATGGTGAACTCCAAAACCGCCGAAGCACACACACACAATAGCTAAATTATGACAGGAAGCTAGAAGCTGCAACTACTGCTGGATTGCCAAAAGGTTTCATATAAAACCCGCAGCATATCCACAGAGTGAATGATAATGAGCCGGGCAAAGTGTCGGTCCGTGTGATGGTCCGTGCATTCATCCGTCCGTCCGTGCTTCCGTCTATCAGTCCGTCCGCCTGTCTATCTATCCATCCGTGTGTTCGTCTGTGCATCTGTTTGCCCGTCCATGCATCCGTCCAACCTATTGCACACACTTCTATTGGACCAACGCCATCTGGAAAATGAGACGAGAAATGGTGATGAGACAGCACCATTTATTATACTCTCCGGGAGATACTGCCGGTTACATGTGACGCAGGATAATGTTAGACTAAGAGGAGCTTCGCCTCCAGAAGTGATGCTGATGATTACAAAATGTTGCTTTCATTTTTCTTACTGGTAGATCATGGGCGCAACAACATCATGGTAAATGGTGTGGTTGGTTATTCAAACTTACATTATTTAGTCCTGAAAGACACCACTAGTGCCTACATGAGATGCCTTTTTTATTTATGACATAGTAAGCTGCACGGGTTTCATATATCAAGAAGAAACAATTCGAACTACAAGATAGTGCATGTAATGGTGGCGAACCTGTATTGTGGACGTAATCTCCATGATCCCTGTGCTGCTAGGAGCATGTAGCCTCCATATGAGATTACAGTTGTTTCATTATTATAACAAGATTACGTATCTTCTTACAAATGCTTTCATGCACAGTTTTACCATACTTCTTAATAAAATATGGACATATTCGTCACTCAAGATCGCATGACATTTTCAGTGTACAAGACAAACTTTTGTATTAGGCGCATTAGCGAAAATTTCAGAAAAAAAATGGTGCGTGTTATACTAGTGAAAATATAGTACACACATTTGCATACACATTTTCTCAGTATACACATTTGGGTAAGCAGTAGGAAAACTTTGTACATGCTGAAGTTTTAATTTATCAACAGGATTATTAGTCTTCGATCGCACTACTTGCCTGGCCCTTGTAGGGTTGCTTGGTCAGCAAAATATGTGGAATGTGAGACGGCTTGCAGTAGACCAATCTCCAGTTTGCTACCCTTCACTGGAGGAGAGTTAAGGGGAAACAGAAAAGTAGGAAACAATGAAGGCAGAGAAGGAAAAGGAGTAATTTTAAATGAAGTAAGTGGCTTAGCCTCATACAGATCATAGCTGTGATGGAACAAAAAAAAAAGAAATAGTATCGGGAGGATAGGTCGGCAAAAGAAGTGGAACTCAGTCAGACTTGCATGGAAATATATCTTGCGCTCTGGACTCACTTGGGCTTGTCAAAGCTTTCTTGAGCCGGGCTCACTAGATAGAACACACTCAGAAAAATTTTCTTCAACCGTACCTAGTCCAACTCAAACTCTCCAAAATATTACTCACCTGGACTCGTGGCTCCATCCGAGTCTGAGTTCGCCAAGCTATGATCAGCAAAGTCAAACCTGGTGCCCGTATTGTAAGCGGCCTAGCAACAGCAGTATTACAACTCAGCGATAAGACCTCGTCAGTTATACGGCTCTTCGAGCCTTACCGATAACTTTCCAGGCAGGCGCTCTTATTGTGACGCTTTAAATAAACTTTTTATCTCTAGTATTTACCTTTCCGAAGATGGCAGTTTGTCCTTGGCATTACTGCGGCTTTAACGCTTTCCCTCCCGTTGACGAGGATAGGTGTCGGGTGACTGTACCAAACTTTGTACCCTCTTCATCGATAGAGACCAGTCCCTCATGGAATCATTGACTACTGTATCTGTCATAGCTGTGTTTCTTGACACCAAATTGCTACAATTGCCCATGTTATGTCATTTGTGTCTTGGCTTGCGTTCTACAGTGGACTTTCGGTAAACGGAAATCTGTTAAACAAAACTGCTACTTAAATGAAACAACTGCCTGTGACGTGATTGGTTTCATACTTGAATGCTGGAACACAGTTCTCTTCTCGGTAAACGGCGCTCCTCTTATGCAAAACACATTTTCTCGGTCCCTTCAAGTTACGTTCAATGAGAGTCTACTGTATCCTTATCTTTCATTGTATTGCCATGCAGTGAAGCCATGTTAGAGCTGTGGTTTCAACGCAAGTGAGAGTTCAAGGGGCCACGACATTGAATCGAAAGAATGGTACTGTTTCATTCAGCAAAAAGAAAAAGAGCTTTACAAATTAATCAAAAAGTAAATTTCAGTAAATTAGGCACTGGAGAACTTGGGTTTGACCTAGTTGGTGGTTAGTGTTCGACATCTTGACCGCACAAAAAAAAAAAAAAAAAAAAAAAAAACCAGGGACAGAGTGTGGTGTGATGAAACTGTGTCGTCGTAGCTCTCTCTATCCTCAAGTTTTTGTGAAGTCAATATGTCGAACAGTAAATTTGGCACAGTTTTCTGCCTTTTTTTACGTTAGTGAAAGGGTTAACTATTTAGCACTAGTGTCCAAACTGAGGTAGAACCTTCTTTCGGTTGTGTTTCATTTGTGTCCCGTGTGTTTTGCATGTGTGTGCAGGTCGACATTGAGATTAACGGGAAACCTGTAGATATTCACATGAAGCTTGGAGAGTCTGGCGAGGCATTCTTTGTCGAAGAGGTCACTGAAGAATCGGTAAGTTAAGCAGTGATCTTTTTGTTTTTGTTCTTACGCTTACTTTTTTTTTAGTTTGTGAGTTAGGGTGATGTGTGGATGATACAGGATATTACTCTAGGTTTTTCTTTACTGGGTCGGTCCCACTTTGTCAAAACTGATTCTGTAAACAAACTTTTATGCAATATATTGCTACATGCATGTATATTGATGTTCTAGGAGGCGGCGCGCGTGTGTGCCTGACAAGGAAGACGAAGGGCAGTCTCCTCTCGATCGCTGGTGAACCGGTCACGCCATTACCGCTGGTTTTGAATATATCTAATCCCCAGCCTCGGCGATACGGCGTCTCTTCTTTTCCGTAACAAATTTGGTGGAGGTGGAACGTTCCCGATCTTCACTACGAAGCTTTGCAGTGGCCGCACCGGCCATGGCTACCAATGACAACAGCCCGTCAGCGTCTTCATCTGTAGCTCCAGCCCCTACATACCTGACGATGCCCACCCTCTGTGATCCCGGTACATTCTCCGCACAACCTGGGCTTGACGGTGACTACTGGCTCCGCATGTACGAGCGTGTTAGCCAGACACACTGATGGGACCCTACCATGATGCTCGCCAACATGATATTTTACTTGGAGGGCACCCCACGGGTCTGGTTTGACGCCCGTGAGACCAAGCTCACCAGCTGGGATACCTTCAAGGAGAGACTACACGACATCTTTGGGGACCCGTCCGGTCGCCAAATGGAAGCGCGAAAAGAACTCGCCACGCGTGTGCAGTCCTCACGTCCTGTATGTCACGTACATACAGGACGTGCTCGCGTTGTGTTGACGAGCAAATGACAGAGTGTGACGAGGTGGGCCACATACTAAAGGGCATTGCGGACGACGCCTTCAACTTGCTTGTCTACACTAACGTCACGACCGTAGATATGACTACGAAGGAATGCCGCCGCTTCGAAATGGCCAAAAGCCGCCGTGTTCTGCCTCAATTTACGTGGCTACCAAACACGGCTGTTACATCCACCTGCACCGATCTCGGCGCCACACCACCCATACAGGACAGCATGACACGAATAGTTTGACGGTAGCTTGAGGCGTCAAGTCCGGCACCATTTCCTCCACATCCGCTCGACCATGGCGCCGCACAAACGCCCCCGGCAGTCTCCGTTATTCAAGCCGTCGTGAGGCAGGAAATTGCAAAGCTCGGTTTTTCTGTGGCCTGCCCTGTCTCTCGACCCGTCTCCAGACCAATGACAACAAATGCACCACGCCATGACTCACATTTTCTTCCGCGATCCCGCAATCCGGAGGAATAGAGAACTGCAGATGACAAGCCGATCTGCTTCCGCTGCCACCGAGTTGGCCATATCTCCCGCTACTGCCACAGCATTTGGACGCCCTCGAACTGGAGCCATTTTACCTCTTCTCGCCCATACGAGGACTCCCATCGGTATTCGCCCAGTCGTGTGTACCCTTCTTCCGACGTCCCTAACAGCCGCTCTACCGCTCGTTCGCCGTCACCTCAACGCCGCCGTTCCCCATCGCCCCAACCACGCCGCTATCCGTCCGTCGCCGGTCAACTATGGATCCTCTCGGACGGAAAACTAGATCATGCAGCTCTGGGAGGTAGTGCTGCATCACTTGCGACTGGTCCAAATCCTCCGTTGACGCTCCCTACTAATACGAACTTATTGAGGTGTATGTGGGCGGTATTTATTTGATGGCGTTCATTGATACCGGAGCTCAAGTGTCCATAATGAGTGCTAATCTGTGTCGCCTGCTCAAAAAAGTCCTCACGCCTGCAGCAACTAAAGCCCTCCGTGTCGCTGATGGTGGAACTGTGGCCATCACTGGAATGTGTACCGTTCGCTTTAGTATTGCCGGCCACCATGTCCCCGTTTTATTTACGGTGCTTTAAAATTGCTGCACGACCTAATCTTTGGCATGGACTTCCTATCGACGCATTCTGCCCTGATAGATTGTGCCGCCAGTACTCTCTGCCTAGAACTTCCTCTTCTCCCAGATTCTCACCCTGAACTCCCGAACAGCCTGTGCACCACTGACTTCTTCCGGATACCGCCTAAAGCTCTCATATTCGTCGAATTGGCAACACTCTCTCCCGTGCTTGATGTTGATTATATCGTGACGCCGTTTGCTGATGTTCTCCCGGCACGTGACATTACTGTCCCACACTCCATCGTAACCATGGCATCGAACCGAGCATATTTACCTGTTATCAATTTCGGTTTCATGAAACAAGTGCTACCCCAAGGAATTTCGGTCGCCACGCTAAGACCCTTAATGGACGACCGCGTCACCTGTTTTAGGGCAGACGTATGTCCCGAGCACGCACATCGCTCGCAGGATGCCACGTGCCTTGATGCGACCTTACGTTCCATGATCGCCCCGGACCTCAAACCTGAGAAGTCAGCCGCGCTACGCCGCCTTCTGGCTTCATACCGCGACATATTCGACATCGACAGCCGTCCACTTGGCCAAACTTCACCCGTCAAGCATCGCATTAACACAGGTTATTCTCATCCCATTTATCGGCGACCATACTGGGTGTCTGCCACTGAGCGTAAAGTAATTAAACAAGAAGTCGCCAAGATGTTAGCCAAAGGAATTATTGAACTCTCTTCGAGCCCTTGTGCGTCCTCCGTTGTGCTCGTTAAAAGAAAGATGGCATGTGGCGCTTCTGCGTGGATTACCGTCATCTGAATAGAATCACGAAAAAGGACGTTTACCCTTTACCCCGCATCGATGACGCTCTCGATTGTCTCCACAGCGCCCGATACTTTTCCACAATAGACTTACGTTCCGGCTACTGGCAGATTGCTGTCAACGAAAAAGACCAAGAGAAGACTGCATTTGTAACTCCAGACAGCCTATATCAGTTCAAGGTTATGCCATTTGGGCTATGCAACGCCCCAGCCACGTTCGAGCGCATGATGGACTCTCTGCTACAAGGGTTCAAATGGTCAACATGTCTTTGTTATATTGACGATGTCGTTGTATATTCCCCAACATTTGAGACCCACCTTCAGCGTTTGTCAGCTATTCTCGACATATTCCGCACTGCAGGCCTCCAATTGAACTCGTCGAAGTGCCGCTTCGGACGCTGGCAAATTACAGTGTTGAGCCACCTTGTCGACGCCTCTGGTGTGCAGCCGGACCCCGAGAAAATTCGTGCAGTCACCAGTTTTTCTGTACCACAGTCAGCCAAAGAGGTCTGGAGTTTTGTAGGACTTTGCTCCTATTTTAGAAGGTTTGTGAAAGATTTTGCAACCATCGCTCAACCCCTCACAGAGCTTCTAAAGAAAGACATCACATTTACGTGGGGTACCGACTAAGCTGCTGCTTTTTCTCACCTAATCACGCTATTCACGCTCCACCCATATTGGCTCACTTTGACACATTCGCTCCGACGGAAGTTCAAACCGATGCTAGTGGTCACGGTTCAGAGCCGTCTTAGCCCAACGCCAACGGGGACACGACCGAATAGTCGCCTACGCTAGCCACCTCCTCACAGCTGCTGAGCGCAACTATTCCATTACAGAGCGTGAATGTCTTGGTCTTGTTTGGGCAGTCTCAATGTTCCGCCCATATTTATATGGCACTGATTTCTCTGTGATAACTGACCATCATGCGCTATGTTGGCTTAGGTCACTGAAGGATCCTACTGGCCGGCTTGGGTGCTGGGCTCTGCGACTCCAAGAGTATACTTACACAGTGACGTACAAGTCAGGACGCCTACATCAGGACGCAGACTGCCTGTCCCGCTACCCGGTTGCTGAGTCGAGCACTATGCCTGACACCGACACCGAGCCTTGCGTCTTTTATCTTTCGCAAATGACATGCATCGGTGGTGAGCAGCACCATGATGTGTCCTTGCGTGCTATCATTGAGTGCCTCGAATCACCATCTTCCAATCAGTACCATCGCTCATTCGTGCTCCACGATGATGTATTATACCGCGAAAGTTTTGAGCAGGACGGATTGGCTCTGCTGCTTGTCATTCCTAAACACCTTCGCTCAGAAGTTTTACATGAACTTCATGACCTTCCGTCTGCTGGTCACCTTGGTGTGTCACGCACTTACGACCGAATACGCCGACGCTTCTTTTGGCCAGGGCTTGCACGCTCAGTCAGAAGATACGTTGCGGATTGTGAGGAATGTCAGCGCCCCAAAACACCATCGACACTTCCCGCCAGACGCCTTCAACCACTTGATGTTCCGTCAGAACCGTTCTTCCGCGTTGGCTTGGACCTACTTGGCTCTTTCCCCTTGTCTTCCTCGGGTAACAAGTGGATAGCCGTGGCGGCCGACTACGCCACGCGTTATGCCATCACACGAGCTCTTCCAACAAGCTGCGCCACAGATGTCGCGGACTTCTTCCTCAAGGACGTGATTTTGCAACACGGACCCCACGGCAGCTGCTTACAGACCATGGCCGCACCTTTTTGCCGAAGGTCATAGCCGACATCTTGCAATCCTGTAAAACGAGACACAAGCTGACTATGTCATACCACCCGCAAAGCAATGGACTCACGGAGCGTCTAAATCGAACTTTTACAAACCACACCGACTGGGATCTCGCGTTGCCGTATGTCACATTTCCCTATAATTCTTCGCGCCGTGACACTGCCGGTTACTCTCAATTTTTCTGCTGTTTGGCCGAGAACCAACATTGCCTCTAGACACCGTCATACCGTCCCCTAAACTACTGACCAGTGAATATGCCAGGGATGCTATCACTTGGGCCGCTCACGCATGCGAAATCACCCGTACTCGCATTCTGACCTCTCAAGAGGAGCAACGGCGCTTGTATGACCAATGACACCGCGACGTACACTTTCCGCCCGGTTCTTTGGTTCTTCTCTGGTCTCCAACCCGTCAAGTTGGCTTGTCAGAACAACTGCTTACTCGCAACACAGGCCCATACCGAGTCCTTCGTATGGTTACTCTTGTAACATATGAAATTGGTCCTGCCACCCCGTCGCCTTCATGTGCCCAACAGGGTACCGATATTGTACATTTTGTGTGCTTGAAGCCCTACAACTCTCCTAGCGATGTTGACATTTAGATGCGCCGAAATGGCGCTTGTGCCGCCGGGGGTTATGCTACATGCATGTATACTAATGTTCTAGGGGGCGACGCGCGTGTGTGCCTGACGAGGAAGACGAAGGGCTGTCTCCGCTCAATCACTGGTGAACTGGTCACGCCATTACCGCTAGTTTTGAATATATCTAATCCCCAGCCTCGGCGATACGGCGTCTCTTCTTTTCCATAACAATATTATACTTATGAACTAAAAAGACACCTCTAATGCTTATGCACGTCCCGTGTCTTGCTGTTATGAAAGATACGCTAAAGTTACACAATCAATCAGTTTAGATTGGTAGCTTATTCTTTGGGTGCTCTATTGCTTTGGATTTCATTATCCGTAGGTTTGTTGTTATACGAGAGAACAAAGGTTAAAATTCACGTTACATTACTTTGCGTAAACTTTAGCACTGTGAAATCGTGATTTTTTAACTCTCTGTACCATATTTTGATCAAATTGGTTAAATTAACTTAACAGGCACTGGCACGAAATTAGACGGTTGAGATAGCCTGTGGGATCGGTTCTCGTGAACAAGCGTACATCATCTACCAAATCTCAAAATATTAATATTGCTTCTGAGGTGATTCATACCTGAATTTTAAAGCTGGCGTCTGCAATTAATTGCTGTGTGAGGCATGTCGCTGAATTGACAGCATTGTAGGTGACCTGAATGGTGACCCCGAACATCAGAAACGTCGCTACTGTGGCTGAGTTCCGAGCTGGCGCAACTAGAATTTTAGTCACCATTGTACTTTTGACGCGCTTGCGCCAGGAGGGTGCTATGTTGTGGCTGCTCCTGAGTTTATGCCTGTGGCTAACATGCTGAAAGTGTAGAAGCCTCAAAAATATTGTTTCATCATGCGGCGACAATGACGTGGCTCATGTGGCAGGTGAAAGAACGTCGGCAGACGACGCTGCGCAAAAGTGGGTCACAGTTCACGCTCTACATTTCATTGCATCCGGCAGCTTCTCATCTTCGGACCTCTCCTGAAGCGAAACTGAGATCAATCAGAGATAACCACGCTGTAAATCACTATCTGTCATGGGCTGCAGCAAGCAGTGTGTCATGTTAGGACTTATATAGCCCCAGCAAGGTATTCCAACTAAAAAGCGCCGAACTAAAATTTTTTGTGTCAGTACTTTTTCAATAAAAAATGTTGTTGGACTATGTGGTTCATGCTGCTAAATTAAATTTCCCAACTTGCTACCAAGTCTCTTGATTGCCTGGGGATCCAATGTAGTTCATGTTTAATGACAAACATAAAACGACCCCTGGCACCAAATTTGGAAACTCGAAATGCTTGTGTTCTTACAGAGTCATACGGAGGCTCTTCTGACTTATCATTAGTGACGAGCATTGCCTGTAAGATATTTTAATTTGGTTTTAAAGTAAGGGTTGTGCTTGTCCGAGTATTCAGGTACAACTGACATTTTCTGTGGTTTGGCGTAGACAGGGGCCCCCTCGTGACGTTGCAAAGGTCAAGCAAGTATTGTTGGCATCGGAGAACATTTGTGGGGAAAGCACAATGCCTCGACTGAGACTCGGCGAGGAATATTGTTTGTCCCTCATCTTGCTGTGTTTTTGGGCTGCTCTTAAGGTGGTTGTGGCGGGGTATTTCAAACTGATGCAAAATCAGTCTGTTTTAACAATGCTACCATAAATTATATGATGCGTTAGAGCATTTATGATTTAATTTTGACGTTAACATACGTGAAGCTACAAATAACTAAAAAAGTTGTGAATAACACTTTCACTGTCAAGGGTCCTTTAAGAAACGAAGCTTTGAGCAATGCTTTTTTCTCTAGAAACAAATGCAGTCCTGCCACATCAGTTTGGACACAAAATTGGTTTTCATTACTCCAAGCTGACCTATAATGTTCTTGTTTAGAATTACTCAACTGATCACGGAAATCTTTTCTGAACTTTTAAACAGGACCATGTACCGATTCACCTGGCCACGTCCCCGCTGCCCGACTGTCACGACATTGGTGAGGAGTTAAACAAGCTTAAGGCAGCGCTCAGCCAGCAGCTGGAAAACAACATCAACCGACCCGACTGCCTCCCGTTGGCCGAGTTGAATGTGGGGACAGACACCAACGATGAGCTGCCCACCATCACGGGTACAACGCCGGCAACGCCCATTCCATTAGCACCCTCAGCCGAGCCCCGGCGACCCTCCACAACGCGGGTGCACAAGCCCTCTCCCATCCTCGCGTCGATGCAGCAACCCCAGGAGTCTATCGGCGTGCAGACTGAGTCGGCCATCACCGGTTGTGAAGAGGAGCAGGACGAGAGGCCGTCAAACGAGGCGGAACAACCGGATGAACCGAAGTACGCCTCGTCTAACAGCCACCAACAGCAGCAGTCAGGCAAGCGGAGGCGGAAGAAGAAGCACCCCATCCGGCGGCGGTCACGCATCAACGAGGACCCGCACAGCCGCACATCTATGTCGGGCAACGACGACCAGGACATCTTCCAGATGGACAGTGACTTTGAGGAAGAGCGGAGCGGGAGTGCGGCGGCCATTGGCGTCACTGCGCCGTCGTCTTCGTCGCCGTCGCCACAGATGACACCGTCTACTTCCACAGCCCCAGCGACCATGTTCATGAGCCGGTCAGTCACCATGCCAGCAGACATAGGTGCAGCGCGCGAGGAGTGGCAGCGAACCATGACACCCAAGAGGCTGTCGGTGACATTTCCAGCGGGCGGGGCGTTCCACCCATACAGTGACGGAGACTTGACGCCACCTCGCAGGTACAGCAGTGCTGGAACGTTAGCGGTTGAATTGAGTGTACAGGAAGGCAGCTAATTTGAGTGGTATTTTAGCTACCATTTATACCTTGTGTGAACTGTTGGTTTGCGTGTCGAAGTGATGTTGGCTATATCACTTTTTTTTTCCTTTGATATGAATGTGAGCAAGTCATACTTATAGAAAGTTTAGTTAGGTAGACATTTTTAGTCTCAATAAAATCATATATAAGAGTTACAGGGAAGGTCAGAGCAGTGCTGTATCTGTGAAAAGTAAATGTACATAACACTAAGTTACGATAACCGACTCAACTACAACCATTGTTACTACTGCTATAATATGCTCGACACATCAGGTGCAACACTGTAGAAGTGATGCAGGATGTCCAGTCAGCACAGGGTGCAAGTGTGGGCTAGTCGCGCATGGATTTCATTGCAAATGTGGTCCCAGCTGTGGCTGACTGCTACGGAAAATAACCCCAGAGTCCGTGCTCCGAAAATTAGGAGATGTTAAGTGACACATGATGAGGCATAAAACATCTTTGTGATTTGCTCATTAAAAGAATCGGCCCTGTATTTGCATGTAATCTGCAAATGTCGTCGAAAGACGATAGTTTTGCGTGTGGAGAGAGTTAACAAAACATTTATTTGACGTTCTGCGCAAGAAAATCGGTGAATGGTATTTCAAACGCACTGCGTTAGAGTGCCTCGAGCGTGCAGCGGAGGCGAACGAGCGCATCAAGTTACGTCACACGTGAGACATGAGTGCCATCTGGCAGTTTCTTTTGGAAAGCAAAGCGCGTGGCCGTGCGCGCCCCTCTCAGAGGTGATAAGCTGTAGAACGCGAGGCGACTGGTAGGTGCCACCACCATCTCGTCTTAGCATAGCGTTGGAAACACGCCCCATTCCGTGCAAGCGTTGCATGGTAAGCTCAACGTGATAAGTGCTACGGTCCTTAAAATTACTTATGTATGCGTTTTCTCGTAAGAGATGCATATGCAGAATATATGCAAGTTTTTATGGTGCCCCAGACATGTGCAATAATTGCTTTTTAATTGACAATTGCACAAGCATGAACGCTCAACCTTGAGCAACATTTGTGGTAGCTGCGGATGGGGTCGGCTGTTTCAAGTACCAGATGCCGTTAAGAGTGGACAAACAGAGAAATGTACAGACAAACAGACAGACAGACAGACCAAAATTTTTGTGTCGGAGGTCCCCAAGAAAGACTATCGTCTTTAAAATAAAGAACACGTGGTGAAATTATTTATCTATGTCTTGATGCCAATGTATCTATTTTCGATGCAGTCAAAAAATGCTCAAGGCCCGTGTACTCGGATTTAAGGGGGCATGTTAAAGAACCCCAGAGGGTTGAAATTTCCAGAGGCGTGCACTATGGCATTCCTCATAATCATGCTGTGGTTTCAGGTCATTAGGCAGTGGCAAATATAATTATTAACACATCGTCGGCAAAAACTCTCACTGACTTACATAGCACGGCACTTGACGTATGAAACTGAGAATGGGCCCAGAGTGAAACTGTTGTCGCACCCTCTCGCAGCCCTCACAACTCGAGGCCCTCGAGCCCAAAGTCTGACACGGAGTACGAGAACCAGATGATGGACGTCAACAGCCAGACGGAGGAGAACACCATCAGCTGGACGTGGGGCGAGCTGCCGCACATTCCAAACGCGTCGCGGTTCTCCCAAGAAGAGATAAGCGCGGCAACGTCTGCCATGAACGGCGGCGTCCTCCGGCTCTCCAGGGACGCCCAGGATGACAAGCACTTGGGCCCACTGTCCTCCGATGAAGAGGACGTTGGGGAGAAGCTTGGTGAGTCCCTAAAGACGCATCAAGAGTGTTCGACGGCGAAGCGTGGCTTAAACCAGACTAGTGAAATGTGCAAGAAATTCATTGTGATGAAAAAAAATTCAAAAGCCCCTGCCTTGGCATGTGGGATGCTTCAAGTACTATTTTTCTTACCTTCTTTCTGGCCTTCTTTCTTTCTTTTCTCTTTCTTTCTTACAGATGGTGAAATCCATCTTGCTTATTTCTTCCTTTATGCTAGGAACCCACCTTTTTCATGATGCCATGATGCATGTGTTCATCTTTCCCTAAACGTTAATGTCTCAAAACATCTCTTCATCTCGAAAGCTTTCATTCTGGCTTTGCCAGTTGGCCCCGCCCCTGCCAAGACCCTACTGGCACGGCAGAGGGCGGTACGGAAAAAATGTAAAAGGCAGAATATATTGTCATTCACGTGCTTGGCAGTGAAATGCTCGAGATGCCACTGGCAACAATGAAATGGGGCAGTTTGAAATAGCAAGTTGCCTCGATAAATTATCAGGTTGCCTTATCATACACAGCTAATCCCAGTCAAAAAAGTTCAAGTGGTTCAGTGGGAAAAATACCAATTGACATCAATTGGTTTTCAACCCATTAGAATTTCGCCACCAGTTGGAAACGTACCAATGATATCTCATTGGTGAACCAGTTCATATCCAATTGGTTATAACCATTCAGACAGAAGCGAATAAAGAAAAAATTCATACCCTTCAGCACACCGTTGAACAACTAGAAAAAACTGTCGCAATTCAAGGCAAGAGGCTTAATGACTATGAAGATAGGTCACGACGGAATAACTTAGTAGTATATGGCATACCAGAAGGCCCAAAAGAAACCAGAGAAGTCCTTGAAGACTTAGTTGTCCGACGGGTTTGCAATGATGAACTAAAAGTCGCTGTAACCTCTCTCGAACGCATTCACCGAATTGGTAAACCGCGAAATGATAAACCCCGGCCAATCATACTCAGGTTGTACAATTACAACGAAAAAATAGCCATACTAAATAACTGTTTCAAACTAAAAGGCAGCAAAGTTTCCGTGTCACATGACTACTCCCAGGCAACGCAGCACATAAGGAAAAAACTTTGGCAATCTGTACGTTCTGATAACAAGGCCGACAATAAGATAAAACTGGTTCATGATAAACTACATATTAACAACGACATTTATGCGTGGGACGAAGCAAAAGATTGCCGGGTGCTCGTGCGCAAAGGTAAAAAACGAGAACTGAGCACTAAACCGAAAAACACGAAAAAGGCGAACGAATGACTTCCGGATTCTACAAAGCAACAACCGAAAACATTGAGGCTCATTTCCCTTAATATGCGAAGCTTATGCAATAAACAAGGCGAACTGGAACACGTGTTGTTAACATATGACCCGCACATAGCTGTCATCTCCGAAACTTGGCTTTGCCCAGATTTGCCTGATAATTACGTGATTCCGTCTTCATATACGTGCTATCGCAAAGATAGACTTACACGAGGAGGTGGTGTGGCAATTCTTGTGAAGGCGGGCCTTTCATCTGTTTCACTGCCTGCTGTTAACCCTGACCACGAAAGTGTCTTTTGTAAAATAAATATTTCAGGAAACCATATTGTTATTGCGGGAATTTATAGGCCGCCGGGAGCTCCCTGTGAATTTTTACTTGAACTGTATGATCATTTGGCCGTGTATAAGGATCAGAACATTATTGCTGCGGGAGATTTCAACTTACCGCACATAGACTGGTGCTCGATGTCATCAGGGGGCACTGATACAAAGAACTCCGAAATCCTTCTAGATACTTTATTAGCTTACAACCTTACACAGACAGTACTATATCCAACACGGGTGACTAGCACTGCTTCCTCCATTCTAGATTTAATTTTGTGTTCAGCCAGCTTTACTGATCATACCACAGAAATTCACGAGGGAGTCTCGGACCACAAGCTCGTATATTTTTCCTGCAAGCTTCCAAACCGAATCAAGTTAAACAACGCTAAATTTGTAAAAGTAAAAAACTACAACGCAGCAGATAACCCAAACATTGCCCACCATTTAGAAGAAGCATTACTGACATTTCACGATGACGATGTTAACGTCTTATGGGCAAAGTTTAAGTCATGCTGCAATTATTGCATCAATAAGTTTATTCCAGATAAAATGAAAAAAATCAACAAAGCCAATCCTTGGATAACCAGAGAAATTATACATTTAAAACGTAAACTAAAACGGTACCGAAAAAGGAAAAACAAGGACGCCGCCCTCCTTTTTAATCTAAGTTCTAAGTTGAAATCTAAACTACGAGAAGCTAAAGAGCACTTCTATTCAACCACCCTTGGGCGCTTTGCTACTGAATCCCCTCACAAATTCTGGCAATTTTTATCAAACAAGGACTCGAGAAGCGTAGATCAAATAGCTGTTGGTGCTCGCATTGTTACAGATAAAAAAGAAATTGCTGATACGTTCAATTCCTATTTCCAGAGCGTATTCTCAAGGCCAGCCACGCTGGGTAATACGCCTTACGTCAACGATAGCAACCAATATATCCATATTACTGTCGAAGGTGTTACTGAGCTGCTCTTACGATTAGATCCTAAAAAATCCGCAGGACCTGATAACATTCCCACCGCATTTCTCAAAAGATATGCAGAGCTCCTAGCTAGATTCTTGGTACAGTTGTATTCTAAGTCTCTTGAAACTTCTTGCCTCCCACTTGAATGGTTGGTTGCCCGAGTGAAACCAATTTTTAAAAAAGGCTCTGTCACCGATTATTGTAATTACCGACCCATATCTCTCACTTGCACAGTTTGTAAAGTTCTCGAACACGTAATTGCTAAACACCTAAATGATTTTCTTGACAACAATAATCTTCTTACTAACGTACAGCACGGTTTTCGAAGAGGTTTTTCAACTGCAACTCAATTAGTAGTTACCGTTCATGAGATGGCACAGGTACTTGACGAGGGCGGACAGATTGACGCAGTTCTAATAGACTTCTCAAAAGCGTTCGATAGAGTTCCACACTCGAAACTAATAACAAAAATGAAAAACTTAGGCATTCCATCACAAGTCGTCAATTGGGTCATTTCATACCTAACTGGCCGCAAACAGTATGTTGAAATTGACGGTGCCTGTTCTCGTTTTCTTGATGTTTTTTCTGGCGTCCCACAGGGTTCGGTCTTGGCACCGGTTCTATTTAACATTTATATTAATGATCTTGGCCAAATTGTGAAGCCCCCTCTACGCCTTAAGCTGTTTGCAGACGATTGCATCATCTTTAGCCACATAGTGTCTGTCACTGACCAGCACGTTCTTAACCGTGCTTTGCATGCAATAACGGAATGGTGCAATAAATGGGATATGATTATAAATCTCGACAAGACAGTTTACATGTGCATCTCCAATAAGAATAAATCTCACTTCATGTATAGTCTTGGCAATTATCAGATTAAACAAGTGGAGGAACATAAGTACCTGGGGTTAACCTTGACGTCCAGACTTAACTGGTCAACACATATAAATAACATATGTTCCTCCGCGAGAAAAAAGTTAGGATTTCTGAAGCATAAATTAGGTGATGCCCCCTCATCGCTTAGACTCATTGCATACAAATCCATTGTAAGACCCACCCTAGAATACGGAAGCATTGTATGGGATCCCCATACTATCACTAATAAAGAAAAGCTTGAAAAAATTCAGAGATTGGCAGCTCGCTTTATTTATAAACGTTTTAGACGTCGCGACTCCCCTTCAGCTATGTTGGAGCTCGCACACCTAGAGCCATTGGCCAACCGACGTAAAAGTGCCCGCCTAAACTTTCTACACCAGCTATATTTTAATAAATTGGGAATCCAGTCGCAAGATTACATAGCTAATAACCCTAGTCGAGCGTCTCGTCACAAACATAGCCGAAGTATTACACCGTTCTTTGCCCGTACAGACCAATACAAATATTCATTTTTTCCCAGAACTGTTTCCGATTGGAATGTTTTGCCAGAGTGTTCACCCTTGCTGTCATCCAATGTATAATGATTGCATACTTACCTGTTGATTATGTACCCTCACATTCATGTGTCGATCTTGCATCTATACGCATGTCTGCTGGATATGTACATCCCTCTCCTGCTTGGACCTTTCAAGGTTCGCAGTATTGTCCAAATAAAATAAATAAATAAACTGGTGGCTAATTGGTTGACCAATTGATGTAGGTGGGGGACCAATTGGTCATCCAATTGAAGCTCACTGGTGCCCAAATGGCTAACCAGTTAAAGTGAACTGGTGTAGAACTGGTAATCCAGTTTATCGTAAATGGTTACCCAGTTGAAATTAGGTGGTCTTCAATTGTTTAACCAATTGGAATAGATGTAGTCATCCAATTGAAGGTAGCTGGCATCTAAATGGTTTGCCAGTTGAAGAGAACTAGTGTCCAACTAGGCGCCCAGTTTAAGGTACATGGTATTCAATTGGTTAAGCAATTGAATAGATGTGGTCATTCAATTGAAAGTAACAGGTGCTCAACTGGTCAGCCAGTTGAATTAGGCTGGTTGCCAACTGGTTAACCGGCTGAGCGCAAATGGTCATCCATAAAAAGTAAACTGGTGCTCAACACAAAGAGCCTTTATTAGACAACAATAGTTCTGCGAAAATGTCTCCTGCAGAGTGAACTTTGTAGTAAAACTCCCAATTTCTGCTAGTGAGGGTATTTGTAGTCAAACTGCCGCCTGTTTTGCTGCAGCTTCTGGAAAGGAGGTCGCTGGTGCTCAGTTTTTTTTCTTTGTTTCGAGTTGCATCGGGAATCATGCAGGCAGGCTGCACTAAAGAAAAATATAAGACAGAGAAAAATGAGCTACATGGCTGAAGTGAAAAGGTTAATACACTAGTCTAAAATGCTGTAACTGAACGCTCCGGCACTTTCCAGATCCGGTAGTTCGAGATACTCCACACGTGGAGAATTCGTCCTAAGCGGTCATGCATGCCAACATCTACAGTGCGATTCAGAGCGCGTCATTCCAGTGTTCCAGACGAGTGTGGTTACCTCTGCATGAAAGATGGAAATGTTATCGATGTAACAAGGCTTACCGCGTACAGTAGCTCCCACACTTCATGCTTGCTGCGCCCGTGCACCGTGTCTGCTGCAGTCGCGAGCCAACACTAGTTAGGGTAACGAACAAAATGTGCAAAAGGTGCTAATAATACAGCAGTTAAAGTGGTTCAAAAACAAAGTACTTGCCTTGATTGTGAAGAAATGGGGCTGATTCAATGGATCATGCCAACATGATTATTGCAAAGACACTGAATATAAAACATGCCGGTAAAGCTTATTTGTGTTCGCTGCGTTGGTGCGCTGCTGGTGACGATGCCGGTGGCACTTGCCGCCGCGCTTGCACTGTGAGCGCATGCACTTTATGAAAGTATAAATCACATGACTATTGCTTTGGTCAAAAAACAATGGAAAATTTTGTAATAAGAAATTTATTTTTAAAGTTTATTTTGACCTTACTGTATTGCTTCGAATGCAGCATTTTCGGAAGGCTTGTTAGTACTAAACCAATGCTTGCTCAGGCGCTTTCTCAGTGTGTTCTCTGATGAATAAACTGCGGCGGCTGCTCGTGTGATAAAGATGTCAAGTGGCAAGAAAAGTGTGCAGCAGTACTGTAGTAAGGTGTTTTATGATTTTTAAAAAATGTTACAAAATTTTTACCACTTTCACTCATTGCTGATTTCACAGAACTTGCACATATGGCACTCTATAGGTTCAACCAGTTGAAAAGAACTGGTCTTTAGCTGGTCAGCCAGTTGAAATTAACTGGTTTCTACTAGGTGGACCAGTTGAACACTCACAACATGAACTCTTTGCAACTAGAATGTTTCCAATAAAGGGTCTTCTCCAATTGGAAAGTCGTTTCCAATTTGGGTGTGCATATCCAATTGGACCAACAATATTTTAATTGGGAGGCCGATTGGAATTCACTGTTCCAATGGTTTATCAATTGGGATGTGTGCAACCAACTGGACTGACAAGCATTCTAATTGGGAGACCAATCGGAAACTGGTTGGCCTATTGGAGTGACCAGTCGTAACTGTATGGTCCAATTGGTCCTGCACATTGAAGCACCACATCCCAGTTGCTTTCCAATTCATTCCGTTTATGACCAGTTGCTAGGAACTGGTAGGACCAATTGGACTAATTCACATTTTTTGACTGGGAATCGCCATCGAGCCGGAAGTCGAGGGAGCATCAGTTAGTGAAACCGACTCGTACAAATACGCATGCTGTCTCACCTTCAACGGCTGCGTTCCCTTGCCCTCGTGTTTTCTTTCTTCCTTCTTTTGTGTATGTTGTCACATCCACAAGACAAACAATACTTCTGAGGCAGTACAAGCTTTGTTTGAATAGCGCAGACAGTTGGATGGTTAGTCAGACGTGTGGGCTAGGCATCGCACTGCTGATGAGACATTATGAAAGGCTTATGAGCTTACTAGTGCTACATTCGACTAGCTATTCCTAGCGCCCTTGAGAACTCTAGCAGTGCCCGTTACATCCAGCTGCTTGAAACCAAGTAGCAAAAAGTGTACAACAGGAGCCATGAACTGTGAAGTAATAACATGCATTGAAAACTGGGGAAAAGGTGCTGCTGAATAATAAAACAAGTCGCATTGCACGCATCTCATCGTTAGAAGAATTTATTGATAGTTTGAGGCATAAAGAACTTCTTAATGGAAATATGGCGTATCTTTCGTGCCTCTGGCAGAATTGTGTCTATTTCATTCTCCTGGACAGCCATGTGGTAGTCCACATCTTCAATATCACAATATCATTACGTCAAGTGTGAACGCATGCTCATTTTTTCTTAAACTTTCATTGAATTAGAAACAAAAGGGCTGCCATGTTAAGGTGTGTGTTCGCTCTTGCGATTTTTCTGGACTCGCACGACTGTTCCTCAGCATACCCAGTGCAGCTACGGTTTGCAATGGAGCATGCAGGAACATTACGGGTATGATGTGCAAAAGGGGCATCCTAATACACAGATGTCTGATTTTTGGTTGTAGTAGGATGCCTGAAGCGTATGTGTGAGATTATTTTAAGCAAGGAATGTATGAGCGGGGTTCTAGTGAATCGTGCTGTTTATACAAGGTATACGAGAGTGCTTCCTTTGCTTTGTCGTCATTTGCAGTTGGCGAAGGTGGCAAGCCCTCGATGCTGGGTGGAGTGCTAAACTTCATGAAGCCTACGAAAAAGCAGAAAGAGGAGACAACGGCGGCAAAGGAGGGCATCTTTCTAGATGATCTTGACCCTAGGGAGCTTGACCCCGAGGTGGCGGCCCTCTACTTCCCGAAGTTTAGGTAAAGGACCTTGTGAATCGACACGCTTCTAGTGTTGTTTGCCTTGGCACAAATATTACTAGTCATTGCTACAAGTGGAAACGTATGTCTCCAGTAGACATGATTTCAGTAGGCTTGTGAGAGTAACGTCATTACATGCAGCATTACCTCACCTCTAAAAAAGTTATCGTTATTGGCACAAATGATGGCTGGTTAGGTCTTTTACATGTTTAGGCTTGTTAGGTTTGTATTCACAAATCAACCTTATCCTTATTTCTGATTTTCCTTATTCTTGTGCTCTTAACGCATTAAATGCATCAAAACAGTAAGCAGGGCAAAAGATAACTGAGGTCAATTTGGGAAGGTTGCCTGCATATTTGTTTAGGAAGTGCATTAACTAAACAGAAATGACAAGTAGACCGAGCAATAAGGATAAGGTTGTTTTGCAAATACGGGCCTTAGCCTTGCCTGAGGTTTCCCTCTGGGGTTTTGATTTAGGTAATACCAGTGTAATACTGGCATTTTTGATCGTGATCAGAGTCCATCTGGATCAGATTTCTTGATGACAATCAAGAATTATCGCTGCTGTACGATCCAACCTAATCCGGATCGAGTTTGGTGCAATCGTCTGCCAAATCGTGATTCAGGAGCCAGATGTTGATGAGCGGATCGTGATGGCGTTGATCCTAATTGTGCCTGATCGCGATTAAGTGTGACCATGTAGCTGCACCTGATTCAGATTGAATGTAATGTGGATCGGTGCTGATCGGGAATAAAAGTGCCCTATGACACAGATGTAAGCCGCTTTGCATTGTGATTGCGCAATGTGAGCAAAATTTAAGTGTAGCAATGATGAAAATGGAGGTTGTTTGGCTGGTTGCTCCTCCAGGTCGGCACACTCACCAAGAGGCAAAGACGACGATGCGGAGTCCGGCAATGGGCCATCGTTGTCCCAGTCTCCCAACAGCGACACAGGCGCTGGCCACCTGACAACGCTGCACTGCCTGGACAGCGACACAGAGGAACGGCACAGCATATTTGACTTCTGCAGGTGATTACCTTACCATATCACTCTTGCCACCAAATGATCTTGCCAAATGCGGAGTGAGGTGTGGAGGATCATTTGACACCGATAATCGGTGGGACAGAATAACACAGCTCAGCAATGTGTGGAGATGCTTAGTCGCAAATACATAAGCAGGTTGTAGGCTCAGGTGTGCTTAATGACATCAACAACCAACATTATGGTACCTATTTTTTTTAGCACAGCGGAAAGCCTACCGGTCGTAGTGTCTAAAGACGAAATTGTAATGCAGGAAAGGCTGTAGCATATCTATAATCAGAGCTTCTTTATCTACAGCATCAATTCAAGTTATATACAAACAATGCATGCCGCAGCCAGTAGGAATTGAGCGCAAAAGCAGTTCGTGCTTGTGTGTTGAAGTTCGATACGCATGAATCGTGTCTCGATATGTTCCACCAGTTGCCACGAAAGCAGTGCTGCTTCTCAGCGTGCAAATCTTTTTACCTAATTAGCAGCTCACCATAATGCAGTGATGGATAATTAATATACACACTCTAGTTTTGAGCAATAATTGAAGTACGCATGAAAGCATCAAGAGATGTACTGCAAAGTGATGAACTCCGTAGCCCAATGTCATGTTTTTTTCCGCTAAGCTGCGCGATGTACTGGTTTCCTGTGGCTTTTGAATATGATTAGAAAATTACACCACGTGCACTTCTTTTTCTATTTTATATGTAACTAGTTTGTTACGAGGATAACTACCGCCCTGCACAAATGGTGCCCCATTGTCTAGGAACCTTCCAGCTTATTTCAGAATTTTATGACTGGCTTGAGCGCACAAACGCTAACTATTGAGTTCATTCTGGAACTAATGCAGCCACCGGTGATAAAGATTGAATGCTTGATGCAGCATGTTTAAGTAGCGACACACGCTTCTGCAGATCAGATTATCGAGGACCAGTGCTCTGTTTGCCGCTGTCAATTTATGCCTTGTATTACTTGCAGTTCAGCTTTTCATTTCCAGGGCACAGGTTCGCCCAAATAGCAAGTTTCGTCTTGAATAGCGCAACTGACATCTTCTTCAAAGTCACGACCTTATGGTAATATAGACACTACTCTGATCACTAAAAGGATGCTCCATTCTGTAACTATAATTTATAGTCTTTTCATTTCCACCAGGATAATCTCATGTTCAGGTCGAGTGTTGATCTATTATACATTTTGTCATATTGAACTTTTACTTACGCCCGTTTCACATTCTCATTTTTACCCTGCATACTCACCGACACTCGCAACGCTCACTTATATTCGCACATACTAGCCCATCACAATGAAGTCCACTCGTTTGCACCGAGTCTCAGACCGATGATTCAGTGGGTTTGTGAGTTAGTACGCCTGTCCCTATTGTGGCACATCTGTTGTTCACAGATAATCTTTATATATTTATTTCATGCGACTTATTAAGGGCGGGTTTCCTAAGAAAGCTTGTGCCAATGAAAAATTGCGCCATCTACCGCTAAAGCGAGCCATGCGTAGATGCGAAGCAGCAAGTGTTGGCGCTTACAGTGGCAATGGCGTTGATGCGGCCTCTCATCGCAGCATCGCACAGGAGAGAGACCTGGGAGGTGCAAAGCATGCAGTGATGGACCGGTATTTCTTACTGGAACGTGCCAATCACTGCTAATGGGCATTGAGAGACAGAAGACTCTGATTGGACAGTTTTATTGTTTAACAACGCACTGGAAAAATCTTCCACCGGGGCACCACCTGGTGGCAAGCCTGAATGGCGGAAGATGAGAGAGAAGCGGTATTTTTTGGCATGTGGCCTACTTGAAGATCAAAAACTAGTGCCTATATATATATATATATATATATATATATATATACATACATATACATACACAGGGTAGCAGTTCAAAACTCCCGCCACACGCCCTCCAGCAACGCGCACAAAGCAGACGGCACGCGCTGTTTCCGGAGGAGAGGTCCGCTGCACGTGCACCGCTTGGCTACCACCGACAGCGGAGCGCTCCGCAGCTCCGCGAAAGTTTCGCCCTTTTCTTTTCTTTTGTGTCTTCTTTATATTCACCCTCTCCCCTTTCTCATGGCACTGACGCGCGCTTCCGAATCTTACATACCCCCTTCCCCTTGAGTAACCGGTTCCTAGAGGGCAGCGCAAAAGAGCACCCCTTCTGCCCCTTCCTCTTCACAGTCACTCGCTCTGCAAGTGTTGTCGCTCACCGATGTGAGCCGCGTTGCTTTTGCATGCGTGTTTCTTCTCTTTTTCGACCGCTTCCGCCTTATCTTTTATCGTGCTGCGCTCGTGATTCCAGCAACATGAATGCGCCAGGCGGGAAGCGAAAGTGCATAAGGCTAGATCAGAAGGCGGCTATGATAACAGCCGTCGAATCGGGGACCAAGAAAGGCAACGTGGCAAGAGACTTTGGCATATCGACGAGCACACTGTCAACCATCTTGAGCAAGCAAGAGTCCATCATCGACGCGGTTGCACGTGGCGTGAAAGGAAGCGCTAAGAGGATGAGGGCACCTGCCTTTGAAGCGGTCGAAAGGGCCGTTTTTAAATGGTTCTTGGACACGCAGGCCATGAATCTGCCGGTGAGCGGCGCCTTGCTGCAAAGAAAAGCGAGAGACTTTGCCTGCATCATGGGCTATGACAACTTCGTAGCAAGTTTGGGTTGGCTCCAACGCTTCAAGGAGCGCCACGACATTGTCGTGCGAGGGGTCTGCAGCGAATCGCAATCTGTCGACGAAGCAGAGGCTACCAAGTGGGCGAAAGAAAACATTGTGTGGCTGCTAGAAAAATACAGCGCGGAGGATATTTTTAACGCGGACGAAACCGCTCTCTTTTTCAAGATGTTGCCGCACAAGACGTTAGCCCTCAAAGGCGAGCCGTGCCATGGCGGCAAACAAAGTAAGCTACAGATCACTGCACTACTTTGTGCAAACATGACCGGCTATGAGAAGCTGCCAATTTTCGTAATTGGCAAAAGTGCATCCCCTCGCTGCTTTAAGGGGAAGAGGCAGCTGCCAGTCAAGTAAGTAGCCAATCGCAAAGCCTGGATGACGGGAGATTTTTTCAAAATGGCTTTGCGAATGGGACGAGAAGCTGGCAAAGGTGAACTGCAAGGTGTGCCTTGTTTTAGATAACTGCACCGCCCACCATACCGCTGCCATGCTTCAAAACATCGAGCTGCTGTTCCTTCCTGCCAACTGCACAGCAAAAATACAGCCGCTTGACCAAGGCCTGATTATGTCGCTGAAGGCAGGTTACCGCAAGCGTGTGATAGACAAGCTCCTGCTCAACATGAGGATGAAGCGAGACACCGATGTTGACTTGTACACTGCGCTCGAAATGCTTCAGGCGGCGGGGATGAGTGTGACGGCGACCACGATCGCAAACTGCTTTCGACACGTCTCATTTGCCGCGACACTAGATGCCAGCGATGAGCCATCAGACGAGCCCACTGTGCCGGACGGTTTTGCCACATCAGACGAAGTCACTGCATCATGGACGGCACTTCGTGACGCCGGTGTCGTGCCTGACAGCGAGTCGTTTTGCAACTATCTGAGTGCAGACTCGGAAGTGGTGGCAACGGAGAAGCTCCTGGATGACGATATTGTGCGCGCTGTCAGTGATCGTAACGAAACCAGTGACAATGACTCTGTCGACGAACAAGAGACAAACGTGCCGACGGCGTCGGAAGCATTAGACGCGGTGGACGTACTGCGCCGCTACTTCGGCGCTCACGAGGGCGGCGAAGATGGCTTGAACATTGCGGCCGCAGCTGAGCAAGCCATCGTTCGCATCAGGAAGATGCATCGTTTAATTACGGACTTCTTTGCAGCTAAGTCTGCTGAAATGCAAGCTGTGTATTTTGAAGTGCATTAATATACATAATATACATACACAGGGTAGTCAGTGAAGAGTTGTGCAGCACGAGCAGTCGGTTTTTTCAGTCAAGAAAATCGTTAGCAGACGTTGCCTGTGTCGGCGTAGCGAGGTGAGAAAGGGAAAGCATAGGAGAGAAAGTGAGAGGGTGAGGGAATGGGCACGTGCAGTAAGTGTGGCCATGCCACACACCGGATTTAACCGCGCTCTCAGATGCTTCGCATCAGAAACATTTGATTTTTCTGTTCATGGTCTAGTTGGCAGTGTGTTGTGGTATTTGCAGAACAAACAGGGCATGCGAAACCACAGACAAGAGGGCTAAAAGCAGGCCTTGATGTGCACACATTTCCATGTTTTGCCCACTTACGTAAAGTTTGAAGAAAAGCAACACGGATGACGAGGCAGGGCTGTGTCTTTGTATTCGCTTTCATCTTACGGTTTCTGTAATCCACTTTATATTGCAATGCATATGGCATATTCATGAAGAAAAAAGGAGTTTTTTGCTGTGTTTGTTGCTTTGCCTTGTAAATATTTTGATCTGCACAGTGAGGCCTGACAATTGCGATGCGAAATGTACCTTCAATATTTAGTATTGTTGGTGTCTGGCATGTCCTGCACACTCATATCAGCAGGCAACATTTTGGGCTTGCTTTTTTACGCTAGAAAACTTTCTATAATATTTTTATTGCTTGCCCTGCTATAAAGTTTGACTTGCCAGAAACTGGAATTCAACTACACTTTGCTATCATTCACTTTTAACTAACAAACAAAAATTATTTCCTCAGCTGCAAGTTTGCTTTATAGTCTTGACGTTTCTTCTCTTTCGAAACAGAAACAAGTATTCGGACCTTGCCATGTCCCTGTGCGGAGGCCTGATGGACTGCGAAAAGTCCATGATGGAGGAGAAATTTGCCCACTTCCTGGTCACCTACGACACTTTTTGCGAGAACCCGGAGGTGATCAACAACCCCGACCTCGTCATTCGAATGGGCGGAAAGTATGTCGACTGGGTTGTTTCTTGAGCAATTGCTTAGTTTAGCCATTGAGATTGTAATTTGGCTATATAAAGTCCTCTCCCAGCAGCCTTCAATTCTTCACTGATCAAAAGTTAAATGTATGTAATTGGAATGTGCTGTCACACAGTGTGACAGCTTCTGGTAGTAAATACGGCTGTCGTCTATTAACCCGTATGCTAACTCGACATGCCCGATAGTGTGCATGATTGAAATTTTGCACGTAATATGTCATGCTGTCATAACTTTGAACTCGTGGTTTGCAAGTGTTTCGATTAGTCAGTGGTGTTGGAACAGAAATGTCAAAATTTTTTATTTCATGCTAAAAGCACTGAATTGATCTTTTTAGTAACCTCTGGCCATGCCTTAAGAGCTAAGCTAAAGCCACTCGTTAAACGCCAGGTTGCGAAGTTTTTTGTGTGGAATCTGTGCGTCCAGTGTCTCTCGATTTTTGCATTAAGTGACAACACTGTCCCAAACAACCTTTTCAGTCAGTTTTGTGCGGCACGAATGTTAGTCTCGTTGTCTGCAGCAGCGAGAAGAGTGTCGGCTGTTGACTGACGTGAAGGTGGGCGGTCGTTTGATGCTGACAGCTTCATCGAAATTCACATTCTAAGCGGTGAAGATGTGCTGCACGGCATGTAGACTACTTAATTTCTCATGGTGCCTTCAACTGAATTTGGTGCCACTTATTTCTTACTGTTAACGACCGACTGATCTTGTCAACATTACGGCACAAATGGCACATTGCTTTGACTGTCGATGTAGCGTAGAAGTTGAAGATAAAAAAAAAAAGGAATGGCCTAAGAAAACGCACTGCTGCTAGTATTATTATTAGCAGTATAGAAGTAGTAGTAGTAGCAGTACTAGTATTAGTTCAAGTAAAAGCAATATTGCTGTCTTTCTGCCTTTGGTGATTGATACAAGCTTGAACTGCTGGCAACTTTCGTGGTATTTTGTTGAAGGATTACGTGTTCTCATTGCCTATATGTCACTTAGATGAATCAGTTGTCAAATGGGCCTTATTACTAGCAAGCTATCTTTAATTCATTGGATTCACTGATTGTTCTGTACTTACTGTGATTCGTGCCCTGGCTCTTGGAATATGCCGGAAAGTTCTCTGTACGTTTTTTTCCTTTCTTTCTTTGTTTCACAGGTATTACAATTGGAGTGCCATTGCACCACATCTTCTGTCTCTTGCCATGTTCCAGAGACCCTTGCCAGAGGTGAGACCACGAGAAGCACAATTAAAAATAAAATATTATTCACCATTCTTTTGAATTTCACTTCTGGCCAAGAAAGTGTGATTCACGTGAGCCGAGAAATCTGTAGAAAGATGCTTGGGCCCGTTCTTGCGCTCATAGTAGTCGAAAAGCTTGTCCATCTCTCAACCTGTTTTAGAGTCCCTTATCTCAAGTGCACAGTATGCTCTAACCTCAGTATAATGAACTTGGATGTAACGAAATATTGGTTGTAACAAAGTATATGAATAATAGCCTTGCAATGGATACTGTTTTAATAAAGGATATACTTTTATAACAAATTTTTTGATATAAGATGCAACTTAGTTAAAACTAGGTCTGAGTGTACTACCAGTTGAGGGACCTCCACCACTCAAACATTACCATCAGCTCTCGTTGGCTCTAATTTGCTATTGCAACATACTGACTCACCGACGCATTCCAACTGGCACTTCAGCCAAGTTTGCGATCGTGAAATTCAGGCATTTGGCGCATTCGTTTGATATCGGTTCTTGTTTTGTTTTGGTCCGCCTTAGAAAACGCTGGACAGGCTGGCTGACATCCACATGCCCAAGAAGAAAAAGAAGTCCACCTACTCCTGGTGGTCCTGGGGCCGTACGGCAGGGGCCAAGCCTGACGGTGTCAACAAGCCCGGCTCTCAGGTGGGCTTTTCTTGTATCGTTTTACAGCTGAGCTGTATCAAGCTGAGAGGTGGAAAAAGGTTATGCTTGTGCGAATATTCAAATGAATATTAAGATCTTCTAATCCCCTTCGAATCGAGTTTGAAGTATTCGAAATGAACGAATAAGTATGTGTTAGTCTGTGTGTAACTCTTTGTAAAGGTGATTTTGCTGCAGTGAAGGGGTGCGAAGTCGTCAAAACAGCTCTCCAGGAGAAATCTGCATTGCCACGAAGCTTTACTTAAAGGTTAAATCACCACCACCGAGACATTTAAGGCCAGAAGGCTGCCAACCGTGACGTCACGAAGCAGCGGCGACAGCTGCTCTGCACCGAGCAGTCGACAAACTGCGTGAAAATGTTTTTAGTTTAAAGACCTCACATATATTAACATCTTTTCTTTTCTCTTCATGCACTAAAATGAGTGCTTCCTATTATGGCCTTATATTTATCGTTCTGTACTAAGCAGAAATAGATAGATGTGCAGGGATCCCACTTCTGCGCCAAAATGCACCAAACGAGACTTGCTGTGCCAACCTGATAAACTTGACGTAAATCGCACCAAACTGCACCAAACCATCCATCTCGGGTGTCCGCAACCTGTGGCCCGCGGGCGGCATGCGGCTCACTGGGTAGTTTTATGCGGCTCATGGCGCGACGTCAACAATCTTAAAATCGCTAGACACTGTAACTGCAGCAGTATTTAAATAACTCAAAATAATGGAGCGGGGTATGTTCGAATTAACCGGCACAAGTCTTGTGTCGAGGACTTGCTTTTCCGCGATGAACGCGTGATTCCCCCTGCTTCTTTCCGTAACAAGCTAATACAGCTTGCCCATGAGGCCCATCCAGGCATTGTCCGCACCAAACAGACTCTTCGAGACAGGTACTGGTGGCCAGCCTTAGACAAGCAGGTCGAGCATGCAGTTTACAACTGCCATACATGTCAGGCAGCTGACAAATCTGCCAAACCTGCATTTTCTCTGCTGCAGCCAGTCCAGTGGCCTGATCGGCCTTGGCAGAAACTCGGCATGGACATCATCGGTCCTTTGCATAATCTTCCGCAAAATGCCCGGTTCATTGTTTCTCTCCTCGACTACCATTCCAAATGGCCAGAGGTTTGTTTCACACGTACGGTTACTTCTGAGGTCATCATTGAGTTTCTGTCTTCAATCTTCAGCCGGGAAGGTTTTCCTGATGCCATAGTTACAGACAATGGTCCACAGTTTCAGTCCCAACATTTCGAGGCTTTTCTTTCACAACGAGGAATTCATCACTTGAGGTCATCAGTATTCTACCCCCAATCAAATGGGCAAATCAAGCGCTTTAATCGCGTTCTGAAGGAACATATCCAGATCGCCCAGAACACAACAGGAAGTGCTTGCGTGTTTGAATTACAGGGCGTTTTCACCCATTCGAATACACATAGCTTTGACGGGACCACAGTGTCAGCTCCAACTAACCAGAAGTTCGAATTAAGTGTGTTTGAAATAATGAGATTTGACATTAGCAAATTACACTTTCATAATTCTAAAATCACCATGCTTGCCACGAGTACTCTTTCCGTAAGCAAGAAAACGCGCAAAAAGAAAATTAGGCTGGCTTCACATAGTTGCATTAATGTATCAATTGCCGTGACTTCAGAAATTTCGATGTTTCTTTACTAGATCCTACATAGCTCTACATAGCACTAAAAACAATGTAAACTGATTTCTGAGATGACTCTAGACTTAACGTACTAAGTCTCAGGAAATTACTTTGAGCGAATGCCAGTAATGTAAAAAAAAAAAAAATATGCATGAAATTTGTGTTATCGCGTGCAGAGGTTTCAGTGCCAAATTCATAATTGAATGTTTTACTTTTATTTTTTCCCCAATCAATAAACCTGAGGTGGTAAAAAGAATGACGTGAAAGTTCTTAAAGCCTTTTTAATCTTAAAAGACCCTTTATCCTAAATCAGCGTTCATTTAATATTAAAGTGTTTGAGGTACTTTTTTCTCTGAAGTGCTCCATTATGAATATATGTATACCAAAGTGTTCCTTATAGCAAGATTATTTGTTCCAAAATTCTCTGAAACTAATATTTTACTGCTCCAAAGTGCTCAAAAACTAATATTTTATTGCTCCAAAGTGCTCCAAAACTATTATTTTACTGCTCCAAAGTGCTCCAAAACTAAACTCCAGATTGACAGCCCCCCAGTGGGATCACTGTATGTGGCTCCACAAAACTCTACGAGAAAAAACAAAGCACACAGTAGACAAGCACAGCGCTGCGTTTGTGTTTTTTCCATCTATACTTGACGTGAGGGCAAAAGCACATACTTTTCTTTTTCCACACATTACTCATCTTGAGTTGCGCTTGCAGGCAGTGGGGAAACTAATCGGCAGGTATTTAATGAATGAAAGAGGGAAAATGTCATCACAGGTCGTGTGACAAAGCTTGCATCTCACAAATGAGAATAGGAGACGGATGGCACGCCTTCTGAAAAGCTTTAATTACGGAAAAGCCATGTCAAGAGCTACTTTCTCTTTGATTTAGAATGAGCTAGAAAATCTTATCATTTATTTCCAACACAATTTTTTTCACAAGAATGTTAGTGCTGCTTCGCAAGAGTGTCCGTTTTTGCAGCCATCAAATCTGACTACTCGTCGTTGCTTAGTAGCTTCACGGTGAGGTCTGTTACCACTTGACATTGGTTTGAGAGCTTTAAGAACACTTCTTGTTTTGATAGTTGCTCCTCCACTACTGGACTTTCAATGCAGTGCGAGAAAGTTGACTTTCTGTTTCTGATGTTGAAAGATAAGCTGCAATGCATTGTACTGTCATCATCATCATCATCAGCCTGACTACGTCCACTGCAGGACAAAGGCCTCTCCCTTGTTCCGCCAGTTAACCCGATCCTGTGCTTGCTGCTGCCAATTTATACCCGCAAACTTCTTAATCTCATCTGCCCACCTAACCTTCTGTCTCCCTCTAACCCGCTTCCCTTCTTTGGGAATCCAGTCAGTTACCCTTAATGACCAGCGGTTATCCTGTCTACGCGCTACATGCCCTGCCCATGTCCATTTCTTCTTCTTGATTTCAGCTATGATATCCTTAACCCCCGTTTGTTCCGTAATCCACTCTGCTCTCTTCTTGTCTCTTAAGGTTACACCTACCATTTTTCTTTCCATCGCTCGCTGCGTCGTCCTCAATTTAAGCTGAGCCCTCTTTGTAAGTCTCCAGGTTTCTGCTCCATAGCTAAGTACCGGCAAGATACAGCTGTTATATACCTTCCTCTTGAGGGATAGTGGCAATCTACCTGTCATAATTTGAGAGTGCTTGCCGAATGTGCTCCACTCCATTCTTATTCTTCTAGTTACTTCAATCTCGTGGTTCGGCTCTGCGGTTATTACCTGCCCTAGGTAGACATAGTCTTTTACAGCTTCAAGTGCACTATTACCTATCTCGAAGCGCTGCTCCTTGCCGAGGTTGTTGTACATTACTTTCGTTTTCTGCAGATTAATTTTAAGACCCACCTTTCTGCTCTCCTTGTCTAACTCCGTAATCATGAGTTGCAATTCGTCCCCCGAGTTACTCAGCAATGCGATGTCATCGGCGAAGCGCAGGCTACTAAGGTATTCTCCATTGACTCTTATCCCTAACTGTTCCCATTCTAGGCTTCTGAAAACCTCCTGTAAGCACGCGGTAAATAGCATTGGGGAAATTGTGTCCCCCTGCCTTACACCCTTCTTGATTGGTATTCTGTTGCTTTCTTTATGAAGCACTATGGTAGCAGTTGATCCCCTGTAGATTTCTTCGAGAATGTTTATATATACTTCATCTACGCCCTGATTCCGCAGTGTTTGCATGACGGCTGATATTTCTACTGAATCAAACGCCTTCTCGTAATCTATGAAGGCTATGTATAGTGGTTGGTTATACTCTGAGCATTTCTCTATTACCTGATTGATAGTATGAATGTGGTCAATTGTTGAGTAGCCTGTTCGAAATCCTGCTTGTTCCTTTGGTTGATTGAATTCTAATGTTTTCTTTACTCTGTTAGCAATTACCTTTGTAAATAGCTTGTATACTACAGAGAGCAAGCTGATCGGCCTGTAATTCTTCAAGTCCTTGTCATCTCCTTTCTTATGTATTAAGATGATGTTAGCGTTCTTCCAAGACTCTGGTACTCTTCCCGTCAGGAGACACCTCGTAAACGGTGTCTCCTGACTGTACCTGCCTCTTGTTCACGACAAGATGTTTCCGCTGATTCTGCAAGGGCCAGGCCTGGATAGCTGCCGTTTCCAGCCATTTTCACTTTAGTCCGAGCTCCCTCTTCTTGTGCACTCTTTGGAAAAGTAAGCTGGGCAACTCGGAAATTCGGATGGAATTATACCTGGAAGAATGCACAGACTGAGCAATGGCGTGGGCACCATGTGCCCCGTTTCTTCGTCAACATACGAAGCCTCTTGGGTTTTGTCTTCAGGCACGAAGTGCATATTGCACACCTACAAAATAAATGAATAAATACTTGTTTATCCCCAACCTTTCTGCAACACGACCTATGATATGTACTATTTGAAGCTGAAACGCTGTGTATGTGTAGGCGCGCTGTGGAATTTAAGAAAATTCTGCAAGACAACTCGCCTTTGAGTACTGCAATGGAATAAGGTTGTCTCGTGCAATTGCACACAGCCAATTCCTGCATAGCTCGTCGCCAAGGGGGAATCTGAAAAAGTGATTTTTGCATATCGAGCCCTAATATCTACGGCATTGAAGGACATAACACTTGTTTGGGATGAGGTCAATGTGCCACACACAGTACAGCACTGACGACGTCCTCACAATATCGCAAAGGGGGGACCGACGGAGATTGACATGCCTGGTGTGGCACCTAGAAGCAAACCGAGGTGCACGCTGTGCCACCACACTACCTGTCCTCCGTAATTGAAAACAGAACCCTTCTGACTTCAACGTTTCCTCTTTGAAAGTTGATATTTCACTAAAATATAACATCAGTGTGGTTAATTTGCAGCTTTGTTTGGGCTCTTGTCTCAATATTCAGACAAACGTAGGGAGTCCAAATGTCTACAGTGAAATCTCGTTATAGCGAACCTCAGTATAAAGATTTTTCAAATTAACGACTTTTTCAAAAGTCCCTCTAAATGTCCATTGATTTAATGTGAAAACATCTCAGTACTACGAATTTCAGAATACAGAATGTTCAGAATAACGTATAGAATTTCATCCCCCTTACATATTCACAAAACCTCAAAATAATGAATAATGGTTTCAAAAAGTTACTCGTGGCTGTAAAAACAATCCCCAGCTCCATAGCTGCCACTATCATCGTCATCAGAATGCTAGCATATTTTTCTATCATGCCTGCCCTTTTTAAATGTGAGATAGCACTATTATCATAAGCATTGCCTAGAACTTGTCTTTCGCATTGGGCTTCGCCCCGTCGCCCTGGTTTTCATCGGGCAGCTGGACCTGCGAGCTGCTTTCTAGTCTTTTTGTTGGTGGCTCAGTGCTCAAGACTAGATGTGGAATCAGCACGAAAGGAATGCTACGACAGTGAAAAATGCGATGTGAGTGAGCTGAAGTTGCCGATAGATGATATACCCGTGCATGCTCCATGAATCCTCAAACGCTATGCACCATGCCTTGATGAAGCATGCATGTGGCCTTTGCTGACGACCAGTAAGATCCATACCATTTATCGTGATGAGAAAACGGCGACGAGAGTGAAGGGGATGGTGAAACAGTGTGCGCAAACCAACTTGAAGGATTGGCATTGACCGCTGATGCTTCGCAGTGCATAAGAAGGATGCGTGCACTGAAGAGTTCGCCTTTCAGCAGTCGAGCTGCCCACAGTCGGGCTGCCTCTTCCTCAAATAAACGTGCATTTGTTCCGTGATATTTCGTATTTGTTTTCTCGTGCTTATTCGAGCATAACACACAGGCAGGTGACTTGCGTGTTTGTCTTTACGATTTTTGCACATACTTTTAATACTTTCACTATAACGACTTTTGAAAATAACGAATGATATTTAGCAGTCCGTTAAGATTCGTTGTATCGAGATGTTACTGTACTAGCCCACATGTCTGAGTTTGTTTTCATTTGTGATTAGCCCCCATCTTTAAAAGTGGCTCGCCCGAAAAGCCGGTTTTCCCTGCCGTCATGGCCACCGCTGATTGGTGACGCCATCACTCGGAATTCAGAGAACCCTTCGGCCTTGAAAGTTGAGGTGGTGTTGGTTAAATGAACAGATTACCCTCGCATTGACTCATCATTTTCTAAGCGAAGCTTGTTATACTAGTTTATATGTTAAATGTCATACCAGCTTATATGTGAGTGAATAGTAAATTTCAAAATGTAATATAAATTACATGTTATTACTTGCATTCTAGAAAGGGAAATCTTTCTAGTATTCAAAGTTGTTTTCATGTGGTTTGAATAAAAAAGAATGACATTCACACAGGCTTTGTCTAACCTGCACAAAAAAATATTGTCCAGGTTAGTTGGGTCATGATAAAGATGCCCATTTTTCTTTATGATATGCCATATATACTATCCGAATTTGATTCGAAATTACTGAACCAAAATCACTATTTGCTTTGAATTCGCCTTGAACGTAAAATTCACTATTCGCACAAGCCTAGTAAAGGTAGTGTCTGCAGGTGCACAGAAACTATAGTGCAGAGGCAATGCTAGCACACACCAATTCCAAGGGCGCTTGTACTAGTTTCTCTTCCATGATTTGTCAGTAGGTACACTCTAATCTCTGTATAATGAACACGTATGTAAGGAAATATCAGTTATAACGTTTTTTTCTTTATTCACATGCGAATAATCTTTTTGCACTTTTTGTAAATACTTATTGTTGCCATTGTATCACACTTTGTCAAGTTTGTATTGAATTACTATATATGCCCTCTTGCTATGATCCCTCCGGGATTGGCAGTGTTTTCAAAAAAATAAATAAATAACAAAGTAAATTGAGAAGTCTTGCAATAGTCATAATGTTAGGAATAAACATTTGTAACAAATTTTCAGATATAGCAAACTTATTTTCATGTAAGGTGCAACTTCGTTATAATGAGTTTTGAGTGTGTGGGTAGGGATGATAGCTGCCGCAGCATGAACTTATTACCCATAAAATCCTTATTTTCAAGCCAATGTCACCAAACACGAAGTCTGAAGCATGCATCTCTTAAATGTGGGGGTAGAAAAATGGAAAGATAGAACAGAAGACATTTTGACAGACCCCAGCTTGTGGTAAACACAGAGTCCACACGTGTCAGCTTAGCTAGCTGCCTAGCCACCTTTGTGGAGTGCTTGGATCGTGACAATTTTTAAGTTTTTTTCTTCTGTTTTAGGGAAGGATGAAAAGTACTAAAAAGGAAGTTGAAGAAGCAGTAGATCCTCCTCAGTTTGAATGCCGGGCCAAGTGGAAATTTGTCCGAGTAACCAAGGTTTTGAACTATAAAAAGCTCTTCTGAACGGAGCACCCAATATCTTATATAGCAGCTGACAAGACAGTCTGCCAGCACTCCCTACCTTTCAGATATTTTGCAGTGAGAACGAAAACTCAGATTGGTTATGCAGAATAGCTTTTTTTTTTTGAAGTTTGCAATGCGCTCATTTGCATTCCATTTTGTAGTGTGGTGTAATTTTCATTTTATTGTATTGTTTACAAATGCATAGATTTTTTTTCTTTTTTTTGCCCCATTATTAGATGTACCGCTCTTAAATGCTGCGTAGTTTATTTGTTTTTCTGATTGTTGATTATGTTCTTGCAGCATAGCGACGAGAACTTGGGTGTCAGCGATGGCAGCGAAGGCCTGGACGTCGTCGTCGTGAAGACGTCCGAACCTGCGGTTGCTCCCTGCAGAGACGAAGTGATCCTTATAGATCCCCCACCCACTGTGCCACTCGAAAAAATGTAAGAAACAAAACTTAACCTTTTTTACTCTGCAGTTTATTAATCCAGATCATAAGTGAAGTGTACAAATGGATCTGCCTGCACGGCTCTCTCGTCCCTCCATTCAGAGATTTAAAAACTTGAGGCCGAACGTATTGTAACTACATGTTTTTTTGTAAACTGGCACTTGTGTTCAGTTACTGAGCTGTGGGGTGCTTGAGCTTTGTTCGTTTTTTTTCTGCCAAATGACTCGGCCCTGTTTTGCGAAGTTTTATGTTTTTCAGCGATAGAAGGAATACTGGTTGATTTGTGTGCCTTGCAGCGAAGTGTCGCCCGAGTGCAAGGAGGAGCAGTATGCGTCGACGTCGAGCGAAGCGGAGACCTCTGATGCACACGGCGGGGCGAGTTCCGAGCACCGCAAGGCGCCCAGGGAGAAGCGGCCCTTCTTCTGCGACAAGTTCAAGAAGTCCCTTCGCCTCTCGTCCGACGAAATTGTGAGTCCCTTGCGTCTCATGTCTTTTTCTGTTTTTGTGTTTCGTGCATCACCTCCTCGTTCCCATAGTTATCACCGTCATCAGTTCTTTGTCGTTTCGTCTTTGTGCGGTACTCATTGGAGAACATTTTAATACTTATAGGTAGGTTGTCATATTTTTTTTGCCCCTCAACTTTCATGCAGAACGCATAGTGGCTGTAGTGACATGCTGCTAAGCACAAGGATGTGGGTTTGGTTCCCAGGCACTGCAGTTGAATTTCAATGGAGGGAGAAGGAAAAAAAAAAAATGTACATGTGAAAAAATATAGGTGCACATAACCACTTGTGGTCAAGATCAATTTAAAGTCCTCTACCACATACTGCCTATTAGTCGCATATTGGTTGCGTATTTAACAAACAGCATAATAAAAATGATACAATCAATTTAAAATTCTCCACAACATAATGCCTATTAGTCGCATATTGGTTGCGTACTTAACGAACAGCGTAATATAAATGACACTAAAAGAAAGAAAAGCACGCGATAGCACTCATCCCATGATTTTTTTATTTTTTTTTAATATTTGGTCTTGTTTTTTACAAGCTGTCCATCAAGTATGCAACTGTACGAAATTGGCCTCTTCACCACCTTTTTGATGTTTACATTTATATTCGGCACGCAAGCAAAAATTTTAAATAACCTGCCAAATTACTCAGCCTTTTGAAAATAAATTATTTACTGTAGTGCGAGCGAGGGATGCTGCTGCGTCTTTGTTCTCGTACAGTCTAGTGACCTGATCGGATATGTTTGACAGCAAGGGGCTCTTCCTTTTGTTTTTTCCAGGCCAGCCTGAATCTGAAGAGTGGGCGCAACGAGGCTGTGTTCAGCGTCACCACGGCCTACCAGGGCACGACGCGCTGCATGTGCCACATCTACCTTTGGCGTCACGACGACAAGATTGTCATCTCGGACATCGATGGCACCATCACGAAGTGAGTGTGGCTGAGCTTGCCTGCGCTCGATGCTCGATGCATGCAGTCGACAAAGATTGCTGGCCAACCTCGCTGCAGTTTCCCCTTTCGAATGGTAATGGCACTTCATGGTGGATAATGAAGTCCGTTTGCAGGGTTTTGTGATCCAGCATCCAAGTTTTCTGCAGAATAGCAACTCTGAATTGCTGCCCTGACAAAAATAAGTCCACTTGTTGGAATGCCATCCCTAGTGTCATTCTCGGTTTACTGATTTTACACCGCATATTTGAATTGAGGGTGCGTTAGCAGTGAGACATTGATGTCTTTTGCTTTCGCAGCTCCTAAATGTTTTCCAGGGCTTGCAGTGCACAAAATCTTGGCATTCAAGATGGGTTTTCATTACAGTCGAGCCAGCTTATAACGAACCTGAGCGTGATGCGGCATCTGTTCGCTGTATCCCAAAGTTCGTAGTAAATAAAACACAGCTTAAAAAAAAGCTGCGAGTGAAAACACAAATTTTTTTGCCACAAAAAGTCCGTAATACACGTGTTTCGAAGAGCAGAAGCGATGTGGGCGGTCTTGAGTTCACTTGAAACGGCAAGGTGCTCGTTCGCCGAGGCCCATGGCATAAGTTGCATGAGGCACTGGCTCGAAAGTTTCGTCGTTCTCGCAATCCGATTTCTACAAATCACTCTAGCCACGTACTTCATTCACAATGCTTCAATCCGTGCACGGTTCCGCAGTGTCTGCATCATCATCGGCCGTAATTAAACCATCGCAGCAGATGTCCCACCCGGTCTCCCAGGTAGGAGTCGACGACGCGCTGCAACAAATCGCCGCCGCAGTTCGGAAGTTTCAGGCTTGGCATCGGGCCCGACGTCGACGAAATCGGCCTCGCAAAAAAAGTTTCGCGCGCATGTAGCCGTCACCGCCGCACACGATCACCATCTCCACAGCTGAATACCGGGACGCCCGAAGTGGCAAATTGGCTGCCAGGTAGTCAACAGCTATGAGCAAGCGCTCCGCAACGCGACACCTAACGCGCAGATTACGCTCAAGCCAAGCGGTCACACTTTAGACGTTTTGTTGAGCGGCAGGAAAAAGCGTGCTAGTCCTCTCGTCGGCCATCATGACCACACACTCACACCAAGAGCGAGCAAGACGCGCACACGCGGCACACATGCCAGAACGCATGGAACAGCTCTGGGTCTGTTTGCAGTCAGAAAACGAAACTAATTCGAGCCAGCGTGGTGGGCGCCGCAGAGCTGTGAAGAAGGGGGAAGGGGTTGTGATCAAGAGAAGAGAGCAGACTTGCGAGAGAAGGGCATGGAGTTGAGATAAAGAGAGGGGAGGATGCGGCGGGAGGGCGACCTTGAAAACCAAAACACACAGGAAGGAGGCAGGTTGGGTAGCTTGCTTGAAAGGTCCACAAAACTCGCATGTAGAAAAACTTGGAAAGAGTGCCTGCGCGCGCAGAAGTCAAAGCATGGCCGCCTGGATCAGTGCGCACGGCGGTGTTCGAAGAATCGGCGACCGTGGTCAAAAAATCGTTTTGTTGCGCCATCGGGTTCGCGTGGCCTCACGAACTTCGATATTTCGCGATTAGCTTCCCGGCAAATTAACAGTCGTTTTCGCGCTTTCGCACGTGCGCGGAAGGCATGCTGAGTCGAGTGCGAAGTGAATGAAAAGAAGTCCTAAACACGAAAGGAATCGCAAATTACCAGAGTAAATGGGGTAGAGTACGCGTGTGCACTAGATGCAGACTATTGGATTCAGTTGGTGGCCGACGATATTGGCAAATGGTATGGTCACTCCAGGCCGCCGACGCCAATGACAGTCCCATCGATCAAAAACAGGGTAGATGGCCGACCGTCTTCGAAAGATCGTTGGCAGTGTGAAAACACGAGCCTCGTCTGGCGATGCAGGGTGCTCAGAGTAGCGGGGGGACAAAGTACGGAGGGAGCTTTCCTTCCTCCATGGGTTGGAGAGAGCGGCAACTAGAGGGTCGCGGAGGCAGGGTCGGAATTTAACAATAAGAATGTATGGGCACCTCGCTGATGCCTGATTGGTGGTCGAAATTGGATTCCCGGGAAGTCGGCAGACTGCTGACTCCGTTCGCTGTAACCGATCAGCAGCGCTCGGAGACGTTCGTTGCAAGTGCGATTTTGAGCCATTGAACCAATGTATATTTTCACGGTCACACAGATATTGTTCGTTTTAAGTGAAAGTTCGTTTTAAGTAAGGCCGTTATATGTGGGCTCGACTGTATTTCGAGGGCGCGGTCACCTGGGGTGTGCAATCCAAACACCACATTCGGGTCTATGTTAAAACTGCAGTAAGCACTCTCTCCAATGTACTGTATTTTCTCACGTATAAGCCGCCACTCAATGTAACCCACACGTCCCTAACAACAAACTGTAAAAATAATGCCGCCTTCCTGTCGTTGCTGTGAACAAGTGCAATGAAACTTGACTCTTGCACCGAAATTTACGTATAACTTGCATTTAGCTCTGAGCTTTCTGTATATTTCGTGCGCACTTGAACACGAAAATGCAGCAACCGTAAAAAAGGGATGTCGCAACGCTTTCGCTACCTTTGCAGGTCGGACGTGCTGGGTCACATCATGCCCATCCTGGGCCGTGACTGGGCCCAGTCTGGGGTGGCCAAGCTGTTTACCAAGATACACGCCAACGGTTACCAGTTCCTGTATCTGTCGGCGCGTGCCATTGGCCAGGCGCACCTGACGCGCGAGTACCTGCGCAGCGTGCGCCAGGGGGACCTTTGGCTGCCCGACGGTCCGCTGCTGCTGTCGCCCACCTCGCTCATCAACGCCTTCCACAAGTGAGTGCGCCAGACCTCGACAGCTTTCAAACCATTACGTGGCATCGTTTTCAGAAGCTGAAATACCTCACAAAAGTAGTTGCATAGTCCTACAGTTTAAGAGGTTGGGACGTTGTGCAAGCTGTTACATCATCCGGAGAAAGAGCGCACAGAACGGGAGCGAGTTTTTTTTCTCGTTCATAAAGGGGGTGATAAGTGAATGGCCCAGCTGTCATTAGCCTTGCATAAAGTGTAGATAAGCTATTTGGAAGCCTACCTAATGTAACCGTGTCATGGAGGTGCGTAGGGGCTTTCCAATTGATGGCCAGAGCGTTTTCTTTTTTTTTTATCTGTTCTAGTTTTATTTTAAAAAAGTGTTGGTTGTCAGCTATCGTTTCTGTCATGGCCTCTTTTGCCGTGCTTCCCATTTTTGTGCGTGTGCTTCTCTGGGTTGCTTAGCATGTTGTTCAGACAGGACAAGGACAATTTGATATACAGTGACACCTCGTTAAACCGTACCCGCGTAAACAATAGTTTCGTTTTGAAAGTAGTGAAGTAAAATCCCCGACTCGGCGGCCATTGAACATAATGCATTTTGTATCCGTATAAGCCGTACCAGCTTATCGCGTATGTATCGGTTAATAAGTAGTTTTTCCAATTTTCATTGCGCACTCGCCGCGGCATGTCGTCCTCGACTGGGCGTCCCGACAGAACAGCAAGCCCCAGAGATCGAAACACGCCTCGCTTGTTTGTGTTGATGATGATGACGGCTGTGTTGGTGAGCGCCATCTCTTGCACTCGGCCGGCTAGGCTTTTAGTGTTGTCCACGTGATGGCACTTTGCACAAACACGCAAACACGGTGTGCGCTTGCTTTGCTTTTTTTGTTCCTTTGGCGCCGTGCATAGGTGTCCTCTGGTTCATCCGTGCCGTACAGCTCTCGCGTCGTTTTTCACGTGTTGTGTATGTGTGCTTGTGATGCTTCGTACTTGCGTCATGCCGAAGCTGGGACAAAAGCATCGAGTGCTGAAAATAGAGGAAAAATTGGACATAACTCGTGCTATTGAAAGTGGCATGAAAAAATCGGCGCTGGCACGCGATAAGGACCTGCCGTTAACCATGGTGTGTGGAATTTATTATTCTAGAGAGAAGTTGCTCGGCAGTGCTGCTGCAACTGCGAAGAGGTGCCGGCTACGCGGTTCGGCGTTTTCGGATGTAGAGGAGGCGCTGGTGAAGTGGCTAAAAGCTACACGGTCAAAAAAATCTGCCTATCAGTGGACCCCTGTTCGTGGAGAAGGCCCTGGTTTTTGCCTCGCAGCTCAACCATGACAACTTCCTGTGCAACAATGGCTGGCTGGCCAGATTTAAGGTGAGGCACGACATTACCACGAGGACTGTTTCGGAAGAAGGTGCTGCTGCTGACGTGGATGGCGCGAAGCAGTGGCAAAATGCTCAGCTGAAGAACATCTTGGAAGACTACACACCTGATGACATCGTTAATATGGATGAATCGGCACTATTCTTTAAGCTGCTACCAGACAAAACGCTCGCGTTCAAAGGCGAGACGTGCACCGGCAGCAAGCATTCAAAAGACAGAATATAAGTGGCGTTTTGCGTAAATATGACTGGAACCGACAAAACTACGCTCCTTGTGATTGGAAAGTCGGCGAAGCCTAGATGTTTCAATTGCACCCGGTTGCCATCAGGGGTCATCTATCGCAGCAACACCAAAGCATGGATGACGGCAAAACTCTTTGAGGAGTACGTGCGCCTCATTGATCATCGTTTTATGGCTAAGAACAGAAGAGTTGTTATTATTTTAGACATCGCTTCGGCGCACGTCGCCCTGGACAACCTGACGGCTGTGAAGTTGGCGTTTCTGCCACCAAACACAACAGCAATTGCCCAGCCCTTGGACCAAGGCATCATTCGAGCTGTAAAACAGCTCTACAAGAAGAATGTGCTGCGCAGATTTCTTCTCTCCATTGAATGTGGCAAATTATTCTCCATCGACCTGATTGGCGCGATTCACCTGCTCGAATACTCGTGGCGGCAGGTTGAAGCAACGACAGTTCAAAATTGCTTCAAGCATGCTGGCTTCAGTGTGTGTGCGGGCGACGCAGATGACGCCAGTGACACCATCGACCAGACTTCGGACATCGTAGACGAAGCTTGCAAAACTCTGCTAGCTGAAGTGCTGGAGTGGCAGGGCGTTACGGAAGGCATTTCCTTCCTTGACTTCAGAGACGCAGACAGCGATGTGCAGACAACTCCGGACATGTCCGACAAAGCCATTGTTGCCTCGGTTGTCGAAGTGTCGCCAAATGATAGTGATGAGGACGACATGGAACGCGACAACACGGGTGATCCAGGTCCGACAGTGGCCGAAGCTGCGCATTGCGTCAGTGTCCTGCGGGTATTTGCCGAGAAGAGGGGGCTGGCGGAAAAGCTGGCTTACAGCATAAGTGGGTCTGAAGCCGCTGTCGTTGCTGCAAGGCAGCCGCGTCGTCAAATGAAGATTGCAGACTTTGTCACGCTAATTTAATAAATTACTGCACGTTTTTTGTTTTTTCATCGCACTACCTGAAAGTTTCTTTTTTTGGCAGGTAAGTGAGCGACCTGACGCTATTTCAGTTAAGCAGTACTACCGTTTAGTACGTAGATTTTCCGAGCTCCGGCCAACTGCGGTTTAACGAGGTTTCACTGTAGTGCATATCGGTGCAGGCGGCTTGCGAGTTCAGATTGCCAAAAATAGGTGCATTGCGACTGTTATTCGAGGAATAAATTCACCCCCATTCGACCTATTCCTTTTTAAGCTTAGTTCGTATTACGTACGTGAAGTACACTGCCCTGTCTCTCCTAGATCGTATCTCACAAAAACGAATATTATGGACTCATTGGGCTATCTGTGGAGAGTTCAAGTTAGTAGTCGCTGCTGTTAGATGAAATTTCTGACAACAGTAGGAGTACAGTTGTAAGCGTGCTTTGTCATTTCGTCTCTGCAGAGCAGCCATGACAAGTCCTTTATTAAGAAAGAAGAAAATGCCGGGGACTGGTACGAAGAACCTGGCTATGCCCGTGGCTATTTTGTTGTCTTGGCGTGCCGACAGGCACCTTCTCATTGGCTGTCATTGCAGCAACTCTCGTACTGGGTTTATGGCACTGTGACTAGTGTGTTGATTGTTGAACTAGGCCTTCTTTAACAAGCTGCAGTGTGTAGCAGGTTAGTTTATACTCGGTAGAGAAATACGTAATTAAGCTCATGGTCAATTCTGAATTTGTGTGCTAGCAGCGATTTTAAATCGGTCTCTCCATATGAGAGAATCATTTCTTGTCAGTAACTCTATATCAAGCAGCGTTTGTGAAAGCATTTTCGGGGATCTGCAAGACCCTTCCCACACACCTCACCCCCCTTAGCAAGTTTCTTGAAGGCACGCTGTGTTTCGTGACAGTGGTCTCTTGTGATTTTTGGTACGCTTCAACGCACACCTTTGCATTGTGGCGAGCTTACTTATGTTTTCCCTCTTCCATGATATGGCTGTAAAGCTTTTTTTGCTGTTTCCTGCAACAAGTGCGCACGAGCATTCTTTTTCTAGGCTTGAATATTTGAAGAGCACACACGTAGTTCTGTACTTTTTGTTCGTAAATTACATTTAATGTAAACAGTTACCTTTTGTATATTCTTTCCATTATTCTTCTTTTCATATATTCCCTGATTTGTTAAGTTCTCACTTTTCTTTCACTCTTTAACTGCTATTTACCATTATATCCAGTTTATGTATATTGACAAACGAATAATAGGAAGCCCCTCTGACAGTTTTGTAGCTCCTAGACCTCCTTCTGTACCAATATTGAATAAAAAAATTCTGTGTAAAAAAAAATGCAAATAATTTGAATGTAGCTGCTAATTGCGCGTCTTATCACCAAGCTGTCGAGATTGAATTGGCATGGCACTTTGACAGACCAATGAGAGAAAGGTATTTCACGCTGCATGTTAAGTTTATCACCTCCCCCCCCCCCCCCCACTTCTCTCACTGCAAGGGGTCAAAGGGTCCCCAAAACATCCATGGCTGAGAACCACTGATACATAGTAAAGGAAATAAATAAATGTCCACTGAATAGGTTTGTCAGCTCAGTGAGTGAGGAATAGTACTAATGGAAGGGAGCCTGCCAGTTCGTAGAGGGTGCAGTCCAATAAAGTCACATGTGTCGCGTTTGTAGATACACTTATTTCAACAGCCTTTTATGTGTAAATTGACTTTCAGGGAGGTGATTGAGAAGAAGCCTGAGGAGTTTAAGATCAGCTGTCTGCGGGACATCCAGACGTTGTTCAACGTTACGGGAAACCCATTCTACGCCGGATTCGGGAACAAGATTAATGTGAGTATGCATTGGAAAGTTGGGGGTGGGGGGGAGTTTATCGTCGAGTGATTACTAATCAGCAAAACAGTAGTTTCAAGAAGACATTGGAAGAGCCTCTATGAAGAATGAACACCTATGTTTCTAAATAAATGTTTTATTGAATGCACATGCATTCACCGCTTTTGCTGAGCCATAGGGAATCCTCGTGTGAAATTTTGTGTGTTATGCCTAGGAGGAAAGATGCTCCTCAAATGTTTTGAAAATGTGTGACAACTTGTTTAACCCAGCCCTGAGTAGTAACCACACTGTGAAATTACTAATAAATCGTGCACATGTCTCAAGACTGCCAGAACAAGTGTTCCTCGGAAACACTGCTGCAATATTCTGTGGCGCACAACAGGTCGGAAAAAGATAAGAGTAATAAATTACAGGAGGGGAGCTTGCTCACTGGCGCATATTTCAAATCTCTCAAAAAGGAGAAGGGGGCACCTGATCGAGTAGAGGCCCTTGCTTGAGACCTTACAGTAGTTTGAAAAAAAGCGATCTCTTGGGGGACTAAAACATATACTTGAACTCGTGTCCTAATCGATGCACTTTAACACTGAAATGCAGTCACAGTCTCAAAGATACCATCTTGATCTCAATTCTTCGAACATTTTTTGTCTCTTGGCAGGACACGCTGGCGTATCGTGCGGTGGGCATTCCCGTCTCGCGCATCTTCACCATCAACCCCAAGGGAGAGCTCAAGCTGGAGCTCATGCAGAACTTCTTGTCCTCGTGAGTACACAGCCTTGTACGATTGTCGGTGTCTCTAGTGCCCACTTGCGGGGCACTGTAGTTGCAGTACTCTGCTGCCATCCACAAATCTGAAAAATTCAACACCCGTACGTAGTAAAGGCATTCTGGCAAAATAGGAATACAAAAATCACTCCATATTCACGGAGTGAATGATGATGACTGGGGCGAAGCGCTGGAGGGTTATACATACAAACGCTGTATACCGTAATTACTCTAATCTAACGCGCACCTTTTTTCCGGTTAAGCGAGTGCATAAATTGCATGCGCATTAGAATCGAGTACGAACAAAAAAATTACGGTCAATCTATTGCCATCGGCAAATCCAAAATGGCCGCCCCCTACGTGCGTCGGCATGGCGCGTCGGCCATTTCTGCCTATGTGTTTCCCATGTGCGGCACTTCGTACGTGTGCTGAGGAGTTCGTCATCTAGTAGTGCATTAGCATCGATGGCGTAGAAGGGCGGACTCCAAAAACCCGAGTGCACCACGATGCTGCTTTTAAAAGAAAAGTCATCGCGTGTGCAGAAATGGACAGAAATCGGGCCGCATCGCAATCGTTCGGAGTTCCCGAAACGTGCGTGTGAGTCGGCGGAAACAAACGCAGAAGATTGTCGACAGCGAAGCTTCACGCAAAGGCTTCAGTGGACCACAGCAGGGTCGGTTTCCGCAAATTAAAGAGCTGCTCGGCGAGTATGTGCTTGAACAGTGAGCGACACAGCGGCCCGTGACGACAGAACTGCTCCAAGTGCGGGCTATGCAATTAGTCTTGGAAAAAGGTCTAATGCAGAGCCAGTTTAAAGCGAGCAGGTGCTGGCTAGCTAACTTTATGAAGAGGAAAGGCTTTTCCCTCCAAAGGGGAACATGCATTTGCGAAAACTTTTGCGAAGGAGTACGATGAAAAGCTTCACAGTTATCAGAAGTTCTTCCTAAACTTGCCGCGCAACAACGACTACCTGCTTGGGCAAATCGGGAATGCCGATCAGACGCCTCTTTACTTCGACATGCCTGGCACCACAACCGTCGAGAAGAAGGAGGCGAAGCAAGTTCGCGTGCTGACATCGGTCCACGGTAAAACTAGAGTGACGGCAATGCTCTGTCACACGTCAGATGGGTACAAGCTTCGCCCGTACCTCATATTTAAATGGAAGACGCTCCCGAAAGGAGTAGTTTTTTCTAGTGGTGTGATCGTGCGGGCCAGCGAGAAAAATGGGTGCGCGTTGCAATCGATGTCTTAGGTTTTTTTTTTTTTTTTTTTCGCTGTGGAAATCGGGTGCGCATTACAATCGAGGGCGCGGTAGAATCGAGTAAATACGGTATATTGTGAGCACTGCCTATATACTTCATCTTCAACTGTAGGACCAAACCATTGTAGTGATCATCATCATATGTAACGCGGGCTGGGCCCCTTTGGCTTGTGCGTATGGATTGATAATATAACATGGTTACTGCCGTATCGGACGTGGTCTCATAAGTGGTGGAGCGTGCTTTGGTTCCCACGTTCTCCTGCTCTACCCGTCACCCCTAGAGCTCCAGTCTGGTAGACGGTTGTGCCCTCAAGCAACAGCGATGGCAGAACCCACCGCGTCCGCTGCTGCAACCGCTCCTTCTCAGCTACTTAGGCTTCACTACACCGTGAGTACCTCTCACTGAGACCCTCCGGTATTTTCCGGCCTTCGCGGCGAAGACGTCGAAGAATGGCTGGACAGTTATAACTGCACAAGTGTTTGTAATTATTGGGATGAGGTGCACAAACTGCGCTAAGTTCTTTTTACCTCAATGGCGTCGCTAAAACCTGGTACCACAACCACGAGAGCGACTTCTCCAATTGGTTGGCCTTCACGGGGCATCTCCGTCCGATATTTGGCACATCTGCAGGATGCTCTGCGGTAGCGAAACAGAAGCTCGCAACCCGCATCCAGGGGGGCGACGAATCATATACGTCCTACATTGAAGATGTTCTGGCTCTCTGTTGCCGAGCACAAAATGACATGATGAAGGCCAATCGCATCCGACACCTACTGAAAGGTATCAACTTTGTGGCCTTCAATGCTCTCGTTATCGAGAATCCAACTAGTCCGGACGTCATCACCACATGCCAACGCCTGGATGCGCTTCATTCCATGCGCCTTCCACACTGCCTCCTGCGACGCTCGCTTTACTGGAGAGCACGAATTGCGAGTCCTTATCCGCACAATTGTCAGAGAGGAACTCCAAGACCTTATTCCAGGCAACCTAACCATTGCGTCTGTCCGCACTCCTCCTCCCAATCTGTGTGAGATAATCAAGGACGAACTGGCATGAGACGTGGGCTCATAATATTTATACAAGAAATTCTAAAATTCGTAAGTGGTAGCTATACGTCACTTCCGTTCCCCCTTCATTATAATGACATTATGGGCGATGAATTTATGGTCCTTGAAGTGGTGGATCGGTGATGGGGCATAGTGGGATGTTTGCAAGGACAAAGTAGTGGGCAGTTTGCAAAGGTGGAACTATAGGTGGTCACCTACAAACAGGGGCTGGACACTGAGTGACAATTTATAGTTCTTAAACGCGCACCTGGATACAATGCGCAGCCATATTGCATTTCATATTGGCTACTTCTCAACAGTATTTGCTTCATGGTCGGTGAAGTGGTGGATCAGTGATGGGGCATTGTGGGATATTTGCGAGGGCGAAGTAGTGGGCAGCTGGCAAAGGTGGAACTATAGAAGGTCATGTGTGCACGTGCCCGCACGCACACGCGTGCACACACACACAGACACACAGGCAGACAGACAGAGAGAGAGAGAAAATAGACAGACCCACGCCAAGGCGTGGAAGCAAATATTTTAGGAGCTTTGCCCCTAAAATATTTGCTGCTTGTCTCAAGCTCTGCTGGCGGACCTCAGACAAGGGTGCTAGAAACTGAGGTGCTTAACCCTTTGAGGGTCAAATTTTTTTGCAAAATGTAGTCTAAATGTCTGTAATTCCTTTATTACTGGAATAAATTCATAAGACGAATCTAGTATATGAGAAAAAAAAATTTCTAAAATCTTTTTGTGTAACGGTTAAGGGACAAAAACGTTCTTGTCACATACGCATGGTTTATCCATAGTAACATGATGCAAAAGTCTAAAAAAATACACTTAGAGGCTTTTTTTAGATATAATTTATGCATTGTATTAAACATAGCCCGCAGAAATACAAATGTAAGTGCACCAGAGTACTTTTCTGGTGGAAAATTGTTTTTTCCCTAACAACAAGCACTTAGGGACACATTTGATACAATCCGGATGGTCTCACTGTTTGAGATGTCGCTCTTCCATCGTTCGACAAGTCTGATCTCGTAAGTTAGTCCTCGTGGTACGAACTAATAAAATTCAATGAATCAAATTCTGATTTGTCACTTGGAGAACAGTACACATCGGAGGCATCGCCGCTCAGCTCCCTAGTGCCGGAGCAGCGGGCACTGAACTTCTTAGTATAAGGGAAACTGTGTAAGTACGCAGAATTAAACTGTGGTTGTGCGGCCTGTCTGGAAAACAAAACAGGCGAAAAAGTAAAATAATCATTTGCCTTATTGCTAACAATACGGGGAATTTCCCTAAACAGGCAGCACAACCAGGTTTCCATGAGTCTAAGTTCTCAAACTTTGTGCTTACCTAATGTAATCTCGACACTCACGTGTTGAGCTAGGATATCAGTAAATTGTGGCTATTGAAGCATATACTGGACGTTTCCCCCAATTAATTCAAAATTGAACCATAACCAAGACATTTTCCTGAAGATGTATTGTTTCCTAAAGTTTGTATAAGGAGAAACATTGCGTCTTGAACATTATTCTTCATTATTGTAGTTCTAGCTTCTAGCGAACCGCACGCTTACGTTTAATTGAATCATCCTTTTAAGCACCCAGGTGCAGCTTTTTCTATTCAAGGAACTTGAAATAAATCGATTCATTAATCTTTCTGGGTGCCCTGTGTTTGTTGCCCAGGTACCACTGTCTGAGCGATGTCGTGGACCACTGTCTTTCCGCCGCTGCACAGCACCCTCGAGATGGGCCGCTGTGGGGCGCAGTCATTCTCAGCTTGCGAGGAGTTCAGCTCGTTCACTTACTGGCGGGACCCCATAGCGCCCGTCGAGATTAAGATCGAAGAAGAGCCGAGCAGTAAGCCCGGTGGCAAGCCCCCCTCCAAGTGAGGAGGCGTGCCCCGTCCCCCTGCCCCTTCAAGGGTGTCGCCAACTTCCATCTAGTCGCCGGGTGAGTGTTGACGACTTGGCAGTGTGCGGTTATCACATGTACTCTGTTGAGATCTACGGACTCTATGCAGACGTGTCGACTCAGGACGGACTCCATATGGAATACATACGTACTACGTGTAGTAAGCATTCGCACTCGGTATGAAATGCATATGCACACTAGAATATATTTCATAAGTGCGTGAGGCAGCCAAACCTCAATGCAACAAGATGGGATATGACGAATTACCAAAGGGGCTGTATAAACTTGTGTAGTATAAAGGCTACGTTTCTTTTTCCACAGTTGCAATGAGGAGCAGCTCTTACACGGGAATCGGGCCATCTTTTTCAATTTTGCAGACTACAAACATGGAGCTCACCATGACCTACCGTATACCTTGATGGTCGCGTGCTGTCGCAAAAGGAAACATCGTCCTTTCTTTCAGAACTTTATTCAATCGTTCATACACCCCATGCGATAGACTGCTCATCTTTATATCATGGCAACTGCTGCTTATAGGTTTGCCAACACATTTTTGTATCGAGTCATCTAGGGTGTCGTTCATCTACTGTAAAGCTTTTAACAATTATTCAAAATTTGTAAGTTGGCTTGTGTCATCGCTTGGAACCCATTGGTTAGAGTTTCTGTCAATCCTTGCTCTCTGATGAATTTGTTCTTTGTTCTTTTAAGATTTTGGGCTGCTATACTGGGGGTGTGGCCCTTCCACTAGTTTATGTATTAACGAAGTTGTGGAGCGCTTATTTAATTTTTTTCAAAGCTAGTTCTCCTTTCCATCGAGACTCAAAGTTTATGCATTGTGCAGTAGCCAGTTGTGCAGGTTGCATTGTTGCTACTGAAAACAATGAAACTTTGTCTACACTGTTGTTATATTATAAATATGTGCTTATAATGTCCTATATATACAATGAAGCCACTGTTGTGCAAGACGACATTTCCATGATGAGGTTTAACTGAGCTTGTTCGATGAACAAAGGGGTGAGTGGACACGAGTACAAACATAAATGTTGCACTTGCAGATTGTTGTACTAATTCTCTACATGCTCAAAGTAATGCTTTGACGTACAGTTGAAACTTAATTTAACCAAAACCGATTTTACGAATACTCCGATTGAACGAACAAACTCGAATTCCCCCTATAGTTGCCCATAGGCTATTTTGCTTCCCAATTCAACGAAGTTCCCTCTTTAACTAAATGATTTGGGGGTCCTCTCAATTTCATTAAATTGAGTTTTAACTACAGTCAAACCTTGTATTATTTCATTATAACTATTAGTTCGTTACAGCCAATATCTATTTCTACTGACAATTAGCCAGCAAGAGAAAATGTACTCGCCACCGAATATCACAGCTGCCGTCCGCGCAAAGAAAAACGGCCATCGAAAAGAAAAAAAGCTACCAAAATAATAAAGAACAATGCACTTTATTTCCGCCAAATTCAGCACACCAGCTGACAGATCATTTCGAAGAAGAATAGTCCTCAATAGACTTTTGCCGACTCTCCCTCGCGCAGATGACTGCTTTTTCAGCTGCAGAGTCCGTCCTGGCATCATCGTAAGCACCAAAGAAGCAGCACAGCAAGTCTGTCGCATTCAGCGCTCGCGCGGGCGTCGGTACGTCGGGTTCGCCAACATTAGGCTCAGGGGTGTCGACACATTCGTCACTGTTGTCATGCACGCCTGTCACCGCGGGCACAATTTCCGCATCTGACTGTGTCACCATCGACACCGATGCAGAAACTGTTGCAGTCAGGCACAAGCCCACAACGTCTGGGTTTAGTCGCCCACGGCACCCACACATCGCCAAAATCTTCAGCCACATTTTTTTTCTTGATGCCAGACTTGAGGGCTTTCATCATTGCCGACTTCTGCTTGATTTTTATATATTTGTGCATTACGTTTGCCGCGGCCGTTGTCCATCTCGTGTCTAGCGGCAGAAACTGATATGAGGTGGTGTTGCTCTTCCACAGCGTACGACAAAGAAGAAAGCCACAATCTCCACCGCCCCGGCGGCGCGCGAGGCCCCAGCTCAGAGCTGAAGGGGAGAATGAGGTCAGATGGGCGGCCGGTCAAAGAGTTCTACAGGAGAGGGGAGGCCGGCTGATGCGCACACTCGCGTGAGTTGCTGCACGGGCGAGTGCATTAGTTCAAGAAGAGAAGGGAAGCAGGGAGACTTGCTCCCACACGCGTGATGGCAAGCAACTCCCGAAAAGCGCGAGGCGCGAGTTTTGAATTACTGCGGCCGTGATGAGACGTAATTCGTTCGTGCTATAATATATTGAGAATTGACGTATACCAAAATGATCAGGAAATGCTCATTGTGGACGAGAATTGTTTCGTTATATCCATAATGGAGAAATTCTCGCTTCGCTAAAATGAGGTTTTAAATACATGGGCGTCTGGGAATTTCAAGGAGAATTACAATTGCTTCGTTATATCCATCAGTTCATTATATTCCACTTCATTGTAACAAGGTTTTACTGTATCGCATTCACGACTTGTGGAACAGGGCTGCCTATATTCCTGTGAATTCGATGTCACCAGGCTCTAGAAATGTTTCTGTCAAACTGTTAAGGCCATCTTCATCTAGTCCCACTTACCGTTGAAGGCATAGAGTTTCATACAATAATGCTTAGAGGGGAATCTGGCGCTAGGGTCTACGCAGGCTCCTTCAGCGGCACTTGTACCCCCACGGGAATTATGGGAAGTACAGCCTTCAGATCTGCTTCGGATGGATCACGTTCGTGAGTTTTGCAAGGTTTCTTTTTAGAGTGCAAAACAAACTGATACGAAGTATTTTAAACGTTTACCTGCTTCAATCTTTTGTACATGAAGCTTATTGCAAGAAAGTTTCCATGACGATGAGATGGAAGTGAAATATGGAGAAATTTAACCACCAGGGTATGCATTACTCTGCCATTGCTTTTCAAGTTTGACACCAAGAGGCTATGAATTATTTTTTTACAACACTTGAAAACTAAAGATGCTTCTTTTTGCCATGAAAGTAAACATTATTAATTCATTTAAATGAGAGTATGGTATAAGGTAAGAAACACTAACGTATCGTCTGCTGCAATGCCAGGTGTGTCTGTCCAAAGTGGCCTGCCCCCAATGCACCTTTCGGTTTTGTTGTGAAGTCAAGTCAGAGGAGCATGATGGTGCGTCTGCTTAGCTTTGCCATCGTTTTGCAGTCAACTTTAATAAGTTTTGGCAAGAAAATGATTATGAAAAAAGGTTAATTCGATGTAACATTCTGCACTAGCATGGGAGGCTACATCTGTGTGCAGCGGTGAGTAGACGACGCTTCGCTTAAACTTAAATATAAGTTCTAAAGCTCCAACGTCGCAGCAGATCAAGAGACCTAGTGGTCTTGAGCCTCTTTGAACAACAAACACCGCACCCCACTACCCGCCCTGTGTGAAAAACGAAACTGAATCTGTAGAAAAAAGTCTGTAGATAGTTCGCTAGCTAACACAATCCAATCCGAAGCCTGTACTTCCCATAATTCCCATGGTGGTACACGATCGCAGCGCCAGATTCCTCTCTAGGTGTTGTGGTATGAAACTGTATGATTGAAGCCATCAAAACTGAAAGCTAGGCAAGTTCAAGTGCATATCTTTACTAAAAAAATAAGTACGAGAGGCTGAGACAGGTAGTCACATTTACTATTTCTTTTGCACTGACTGTGCTCGCTTCATGCCACTATGTCTTGGTAATGAATGTTGGACTTAGCAAATAAAGTGTGTCGATTGCAGCTTTATTTCAATAAGATTTCAGCTGTTTTCAAAACGTGACGCTAGTTTCCAGCCTATATGACCCAGTTGTGCGGCCCTTTCATGCAGGTTCTCAAAGTCGCAGCCATTCATGCGCCATCCTCCCTCCTGCGTCTTTTGAGTGAGCCAGGAAAATTGGTCCGGGCGTAGCAGTACCAAAGACTCACCTCGTCCTCTTACCATCCTTCAATTCACCGTCTTCTCGCCAATCGCCAGCATCCTCCGCCATCATCGTCGTCTTTAAAAACATTGCCACTCAGCCGTCTGAACGAAGACGTGAACAAACTGTAGTCTCTGCATTGCCTGTCCGTTTGCTTTTTTCTGTGATACTTAGGTGTTTTTCCTTTTGCTCATAGTTCTTGCTTTCAACCTTCTTGCTTTGCTGCGATCGTAGGAGCGATCTGCAAAATAAGAAGGAACATTGAAGTGGCGGTAAGACGAGGGTTTCGAAGGGCTGGACCTTTCTGGACCCGAAGCGTTTTCCAAACTAACGCGACAAGTCCCTCATCGCCAAATTAACGATTAGTATATGAGATTTATTCTCAGCCCCGGTTATGCTGCGATCGTAGAATTAAAATCTTTCGACAGAAGCCCTGTTGTGAAACACCAAAGGCATTGAATGGCCTTCCATTCCCCATTTCGACTAGTGGTGTACGAAAACTGTGGAACGTTTTTGTTAGAAAACAACACGCACAGTAACAGCGTGGCGCATTTTCGACTGTACATTGTTGAAGTGAAAATCATGAAAACAGTACCCATAATTTGTTTTTTTTTTCTGTTTATCACACTTTGTCAGCTGTTACGAATAGTTTCTGATCTCTTTGAATGTAACATCTTACAGCCTCCCGAGATTGTGCTCGTTGTTTGAAGGTAGTGTCATCACAGTTGCTGAAAGCCATCAATGCAATGCTCATTTCATCTTTCCTTTTATTTCTATTATAATACTACTTAAGCTCGATATTACTTCGATTCAGCACTTTACGAATTCTCGTCATTATCAAATTAATATAAAAATACGTGTTCTCTGAAACGTAATAACCAGCCATGTGCGTTTCATTCGGTGCTTTCCGTGTGAAGGCTTGCATTTGATGTTTCAGTTCCTCGTTTACTGTTGTATTGTTTTCACCCTGTGATGTGCTCATTTTGGCACTTAGGAAAGGAAGTATCATATATGTAATAAATATAGTCTACATAGTTTAAGAACTACTCTGCTTTTAAGTAAGAACTATCAGGGTCAATGAACGATATGTGAATGTGTGAACATATTCATAATTAACGGATTCACATATTGTTCACAACATGGAATATTTGAAGATTATGCGAAATAGGCCTTTAATGAATAGCCTAATTCTATTAAGCCTTTTACCAGAGGCCCAATGAGCTTTTTTTGTTATATTTTTATAGAAATGTCACGTTCCATTTTCTTGTCCAAATGTCAACACAAGGCTGGTACCTGTGTGTGACGATCAGTTATAGCGTTCTGTTATTTGTTCAGAAAAGTGTGGAGATGTTTGTACTTTATTTTTCTTCTTTTCTTTATTGCAAGTTCGAGTAGGTGTTTGCGATTTTATTTCTTTTCCTTGATGAAGCAGCCGGTTACTAGTGTAAATATTTGCAGCTCGCAAAGACACGCATTGTTTTAGCCCTGTGATGTACAGGTGGCCATGTTTTTCTTTTCCCTTCCCCATCACTACTCGGGCGTGTTGTGTGTTTCTTTATGTTAATAAATGTTGTTATTACAAATAAGTTATTTGTGGGCAGTTTCATTAGGCTTAGTTTACCCTCGCCCCTTTTCTAACATGATAGTGTTAATGAGCACATTTCGTTGTAACTGTGGTGTTGGTGTCGTTTGTTGTTGGCAAAAAATCAGCATTGTCGCTGACCAGAGAGTAAAAAAGGGTGCAAATAAAATAAGTATTTTGTTCGAACCCAGGCCTTCTGTGGGCCAAGCAGGTATTTTACCACAGAGCAACACCATTTTTTGGAACCTCTTGGGAAAACAACAATTTATCAATGTTATGTAGCAGGAGGAGAGTCCCTAACGATCATGATAACATAGGGGGTGCGATAAATACAGCACAGAAGAAAAAGGAGGACATTGGAACAATGCAGTCACCTTGTGTCCTGTATTTTTTTGTGTGCTGTGTTTTTCACTGCCCTAAGCTATCACGAACCAACACCAACTTGCCCAAATTTTTTTTTATTGTGATAGCAATTATATAGGCACCTTGGCTGGGTTTTGCCGTTGCCGTCATATGTATACATATCTATATATATTGGAAAAAGAAACAAGAAAGAAATCTAATCCAGAAAAGGACTCTGGCGCGCGTGTGAGTGCGAGTCGTTATTCACTGAGCCACGAAGGAGCACCGCCTTCAATGTTGAAACGGCAAGCTATTTATGTCTACGACTTACTTGTGATGATGGCTATCTTGGGGAACTATCGTGTTTTCAGCATTACTAGCGAGATGGCGCAATGAGTGCGCATCACCAGATCGTCGCGATGTTGCACACACTTATCCCGTGGTGGGGAGAATCATACGCCTTGGGCTTTCACCTGAACGATTCTGTTGTAGTTACCGGGTGCACTAAGGTCGCTGCAGCAGTCTCCGTTTGCGAAAAGGGTACGCTTTTTAGTCGCAGCGAAGTGACAACTGAGACTGCTTATTCCCATTCATCTGTACCCGTGAGTACGTTTAGTGCGTCATTTGTGCGTGAGAAAAGCGGGGCACGTTTCTATTTGCTTGCCCTTCTTCGCATGACCTTCCTACTTGTTGCTATTGAGTTCATTGTTTCGCCTTCCCGGCAAAGCTGTGCCTTTTTTTTATCTCAGCTTTCCTTAATGCGTGTTATATTGCATGGGTATTATGCACCAGGCTATCGAAACGTGAAATGTTCTACGAGTGGATGTTCTAAAGAGCCACCATATGCAAGTGCTGAGAAGGCATCAGCAAAAGCAGAACAAAGCGAGTAGCTGCGTATGCTTGCGTTTTTGCGTTACTGATACGTGGTGTGGGCCCTTCGCTGATTCGCAAAAGAGAGAACTAGGGCATTGTGGAAACTATGTAGACATTCTAGAATGGTTTGAAGAGCCCAACGGTTACATGCGAAGACATTTTTTTCATTACAGTACAGTTGAGGCATGCACTGAGAACCTGCAGCCAGGCTAGCGATTGAGAAGGCAATGAACACGAGGCCTGATTACGCCATTGCGTCATACCATTGAAGGCGAAGCTGAAGCGTCTTCCAATTTTGTTAGAGCGCTACTCTTAGGTGCCTTTTACTGCATGAAGTGGTGTCGCCGTTTGGGATCATATGAGCGATTGACATGGAAAAATAAAATGATAGAAAAAATACTCGGAATAGAGTGTGATTTCAACTCGGGCCCTCTGTGTGGCAGTCAAGTATTCTGCCACAGAGTGATGCTTGCGCTTGAAACTCGTTGGCAAAAAGACCGTGTACTGCAGGGCCATAGGTAAAAATGTTTTTCGGAGGGGGGGGGGGGGGGGGGGCATCTTGATTTCGGGAGGGGTGCACCTCCTTAAAATGGTCATTTTTTCGGGCTGTGACCGTTCCAAATTTGGGAGGGGGTATGTACGGGCCGCCCGATGTGCCACCCCCTGGTTACGCCACTGCTGTGTGGTCATGTCTAGTGGTGGTGGTAGTGGCCAGTTTATAATAAGAAGGCACCTAGTTTCTGCAGCCCGGTAGGAATTTAGAGATGCTGTATATGCCGTAGGGAGCGTATACAGTATCTCTAAATCCTACCGGGCTGGATGCCCACACACACACACACACGCACGTGTGTATATACAGCACACACATACACTGCATTTTTGCACAGCTACTATTTTTAGGCAGGTGGATTTCTCGTCCGACTACTGTTAGACTTGAACAAGTTATGAGACCTAATACTGTCGACAAAGTGACATCTACATTGCGCACTTGTAGAGACACGCTATATTCAGCTTCGCAAGTGCTAGCCATGGCAGAATTATTATTTTTTTTGAGGGGGTGGGGTGTGCAGCAGAACGCTTACTTTGGCTCTTGGCGGTCGCTGTGAATGTGTGTAAATGTTTTAGTATACCCTGAAAAGTTAAATTACGAAGCATTTCGTGTTGGAAGGGGTTCAGATTCCTCTTCCCTCTTACTTATGACTTTCTGGTTCTGCGTGTGTGTGGCACAGTATTTGTTTTTTAATCTCAGCTTTCTGAGCACAGCTAGCTTCCAATAAATCGGCTCAGTTATTCTGAATATTGTAGACGCCTGACCAACGAAGAAAGAGTTAAGAGAAAAGATATCTGTACAAGACGCACCCTTTCTGAATTATTTTCCATCTCTCACAAGGGCTTTTACGGAGCTCAAAATTAGTAGATTGGTGTGTCATACTTCAAGGGCTATGACATCATGTGCTAGACAAGAATGATGGGCAGGTACGAAGAAATCTGCACCAAGAAAACGTCACGGAAGAGCTGAAGCGCATAGCAATTCCTGCACGCGGCTCTTTCAGTACTATTCGACTGCAGCGCCGCCGCAGCAGGCAGCGCGGAAGGGATCAAGCGGCGAGGTGCAGTCACGCCACTCAACACTTATAGTACACTCTAATGCCGAGGCTAGAGTGTACTAGAAGTTTAGGCGGTTTCGACTGGCGGCGGCCTTGTCGGCGCACGCCGGGTAAAATCATCGGCAGCGGCGCACGGCCACTTTTTGTCGACGGCGACGGCGTGGAAACCGAAATGAGAAATTCAAAAAGCTCTTTACTGCGCCTTCTTTGCTTAATTAACAGACTTTCATATCTTTTTTTACACTAACATCAGGAAATGGCATATGAGATTACTAGAAGAGAGTTGGCAAACGTTTCGTAATTGATTTGTTTTTGAGCATGCATAATGAAAATTCGAAAAAAGAGAGTGAGGCGAGGGGGGGGGGGGGCGTACTTTTCTCAAGTCGTGTAGAGTTTATTATTATTTTCCGGGGAGGTTTTGAACACCCGTTCAGCGTTCGTCAAAGTGCGATTACCGCGGCTGAGATCGAGCATGCACCAGAGCACCGTGCCACCACGGTACGTATGTTAAATGCAACGTTTTCAGATACTGTTGGTTTAATGTGCGTTTATTGCTTCCACCAATGTGCAGCATTCTTTTTTTTTTTTTTGTACCGTGCTTGCATATGTTTCATAAGATTCATAGCGGTAAGCTGCTGGCATATCACTTGAAAGAATGACAAACATAGCCGTGAAGGACGCGCGCACACAACAGGATTCAACATGTGTGCAAGCTTGGACTAGGAACTCTTTAATGAACTAAGTATACTACGCGGTAAAAAAACACGGATGGGAAAAGGACAAGGACAAGCGCTCGTGCTTGTCTTTTTTGCATCCATCTGTTCTGTTCTGGACGCTTCTGTACGCAGCAATAACCTGAGCGCTTCTGCAGCTTTCTTCTGCCATTCAATCGTTATCAGGCGGCTGTTTTAAAATACCGCACCCTTCATCGTCGGTGACGGCCGAGCTAGCAGCGATTGATGTTGCCCCCCAGACAACACAAACACAACCTCAGGACATCCTCAGTATGCCTCCGTGAGGACAATATGACGCCCTCAGAATGTCCTCTTATGGTATTAGAAAGGCACTAATCGCGTCCCCTTGTCCATACACATAACAACCTCAGCACATCCTCAAAACAACAATTCAGGACTTCTTCAGTATCTTTTCAGAACAACGATAGCGTGGCCGGTTCGGTATTGCGGGCAGTGATACTACTTAGGATTTACTTCTTTTCATGACATTTTCATACATCAAAAGAAAAACACCTGCGAGGTCTCGAGTATATATACTGTATCTATCAACAGAGAGGTGACAGTGCTGGACTATTAGAGTAAAACAAACAAAAAGCTTGTTGACTGAATTTTATTTATTTAACAGTAATTAATCACAATAGACAGCTTTGTCAGGCATTCGAGTCCGCGTATAGCCTGAAAAAAGAAAAGCAGTATCAAGGCAGTCAACACAGCTCAATCAACTACGTTTGTAATCTTCGAAAGTTTGACAGTGTCCTCATCACCACGTGTATCGCGCCCAATGCACTCACTAGTGCTAGAGGCTCCGCATGACAGCCTATCAGCACACTCGACACGGACGTTGACTTGACTTGCCCGAGGTCCAGCCATGTGTCAGATGCACAAGTCGATCCTTTCACGTTGGGACCAGGCTGCTTCGAAGCCCAATTGATCGCGATTGGCTGTTGTTCCAGGCTGCTTCGAACCACACCTCGCCGAGGTCGGCTGGCGACAATGCATCCAAGATAAGTCTGAACGTTGAGCAGCCCAGTGCACCCATCAACACGGCAATTTACCTACCGTCATCACCTACGACTTACACTCTCACACATATCTCACTTTTAACCATGCACACAAACAACAAAGGACATGAACCTTCACTAGTTCACTGCACTTTCTCTGACAAGACCGCCGCTGCCATTTTGAGAGTCAGTTGGCTTGGAATGGCTTGGCCACTTAACTTTCTAGAACGATGCCGCATAGTCAATGGTTGCCAGCTGCTAGTTTGTTACTACGCGCTACAGCGACGTATAATGACAAATTTAGGGCTGTTACATTTAAGAACACACTGTTTCAAATGGTCATTTCGCAATACCAGGTTCGATACAAGTCAATTGATTACGTGTGTCTCATTAGGCGCGACGCATAGTTTGAAAATTTTCTGCGAAAAAAGAAAAAACGAGGCGGAA